GGCAGACGCTTAACAACTGAGCCACCCAGGCGCTCCCATGGCAAATCAATTTTAAAGGGTCTTTGTTGAGAAGAATATTTATTTGATATGCTGCCTTTCCTGAAATTTTAACTTATAGAAAGTTACTTTTACAGCTTCACTGAGGTATAATTCACATACCATGCAGTCCACCCATTTAGAGTGTACGATTCAGTCTTTTTTTTTAGTATATTCACGGTTTTGCAACCATCGCCACAATCTAACTTCAGAATATTTTCATGACTCCCAAAAGAAGCCCAGTGTTCATTACCAGTTACTCCCCATTTTCCCTCAACCTAATCCTCCTATCCCAGCCTTGTGCAAAAACTAATCCACTCTCTGTCTCTCTGGATTTGCCTATTCTTGACGTTTCATATAAATGGAATCACACTGTCTGTGGTCTTTTGTGTCTGACATTTTTTAGTTATTATAATGTTCTCAAGGCTCACCTGTGCTGTAGCTGTATCAGTACTTTGTTCTTGTTGTGGCTCATCACTCTTCCATTGTACGGACATATTTGATTTATCTATTCAGTTGAAAGGCATCTGGGTTGGTTCCATTTGTTGGCTATTATGAATAATGCTACTAGAATGTTCACGTGCCAGTTTTTGTGTGGCCCTGTGTTTACATTTCTCTTGGAGCTAAATTACTGGGTCTCAGGTAACTCCGTGTTTAACCTTTGAGGAACTGCCAGACTGTGGTCCAATTTTACATTGTCATCAGCAGTGTACGAAGGTTCTAACTTCTCCCTGTCCTTGCTGCATGCATTACTGTGTGTCCTTGTGCTTCTAGCCATCCTAGTGGGCATTAGGTAGGATCTGATTGTGGTTTTGGTCTGCATTTCCCTAATGACTGATGATACTGAGCATCTTTTCATGAGTTTACTGGCCATTTATATATCTTCTTTGGAGAACTATCTGCTCAAATCCTTCACCCAATTAAAAGAATTTTTTTAACCTTTTATTTTGGAAAATATTCAGAGCTACAAGAAAGTTTTAGAGGGGCGCCTGGCTGGCTCAGTCGGTAGAGCATGCAACTCTTGATCTCAAGGTTTTGAGTTTAAGCCCCACAATGGGTGTGGAGCCTACTTAAAATTAAAAAAAATTTTTTTTAATTAATAAAAAATTGGAGAAAAACAGTACAAAGAATGTCCATACATGTTTCACCCAGAATTCCCCAGTGTTAACCCTTCACCACACTTGATTTACCTTCATTCCATATGCATATGATTATTTTTGTTCTGGACTCCTGAGGAGTGAGTTGTAGACATAATGCTTCATTACCTCTCACTACTTGAGTGCATATTTCCTAAAAACAACATTCACTTACATAATCACAGCACAGTTATCTAATTAGGAAATTAAGACTGATAAGGCTCTGTAATCTAGAGACCTTATCCACATTTGACTTACTGTCCAACTAATGTCCTTTACAGCAAAACACAAGATTTTTTTCTCTGCCCCGCCATCCAGTCCAGGATCACGTGTTACATTTAATGGTCATACGTGTCTGGTCCCCGTTTATCTTCATCAGTGCTGCTTTGTCTGTCTTGACTCAATGCTTTCAAAGAGCACAGGCAGTTGAAGTTGTGTAGGCTGTCAGTTGGGGTTTGTTTGCTGTTTCCTCCTGATTACATTAGTGCCATGCATTTCGGGAAGGAACAGCACAGAAGTGATGTCCTGTCCTCACGCGCCACGTCAGGATCCGTATGGCATCTTTGTCTCGTGCCTGGTGAAATTACCTTGGCTCACCTGGTGAAGGTGGTGTTTGCCAGTCTTCTCCAAACTGCCCATTTATAATTGGGTTATTTGTATTTCTGTTAATGGTTTTGAGAATCCTTAATATATTCTGGATACAAGCGCTTGATCAGATGTGTGATTTGCATACAACTTCCCCAGCCCCCATTCTGTGGGTGGTTTGTCACTGTCGATGGGGCCCTCCGCGATACATAAGCTTTATATTTTGATGCAGTTCAATTTGTTTTTTTTTGGTCATTTGTGTTTTGGGGGTCACCTAAGAAGGTGTTGCCTGACCTAAGGTTCTGTATGTTTGTTTTCTTGTTAGAGTTTTAGCTCTTAGATTTAGGTCTCTGGTTGATTTTTTTTTTTTTTAATTTATTTATTTGACAGAGAGAGACACAGCGAGAGAGGGAACACAAGCAGGGGGAGCGGGAGAGGGAGAAGCAGGCTTCCCGAAGAGCAGGGACCCCGATGTAGGGCTTGATCCCAGGACTTGAGATATGACCTGAGCCGAAGGCAGACGCTTAACGACTGAGCCACCCAGGCGCCCCTCTCTGGTTGATTTTGAGGTCATTTTTGTATATGCTGTGAAGTAGGCGTCCAGCTTCATTCTTTTGCATGTGGATATGTGGTCGATCCAGCCTGTTTGTTGAAAAGACTCTTCTTTCTCCTACTAAATGGTCTTGGCACTCTTAGAAACTCGGTTGACCATAAATGTAAGAGTCTATTTCCGGACTTATACTTCTGTTCCCTTGCTCTGTATGTCTGTCCTTACACCAGTACCACATTTTTCTTTCTTACTGTAGCTTCATAGTAAGTTAGGAAATCAGGAAATGTGAGTCCTCCCAACGTTGTTCTTGCTTTTAATAATTGCTTTGGTTAGTGTGGCTCCTTGCATTTCCATGTGAATTTTAGAATCTGTCAGTTTCTCCAAAAAAGGCAGCTGTGATTTTGACAGGGATTGCAGTGGAGATGTAGACCAATTGGGGCAGTGTCATTCTAACCATAGTAAACCTTCGATCCCAGAGCACGGCTGTCCATTTGTTTAGGTCTTCTTTAATTTCTTACAACAGTTTTTTGCAGTTTCAGAGTACAAGTGTCATACTTCTTTTGTTTTAAACATAGACCTAGGTATTTTTTTATGTTATTATAAATAGAGTTTTCTTAATTTCATTTTCAGAGTGTTCATGGTTAGTATATAGAAATATGCTTGATTTTTATATATTTAGTATGCTGCAATCTTGCTGAATTCATTTATTCTAATACTTTTTACTAGTATTTTAAGATTATGTTTTTAAAGTAAACTCTCCACCCAATGTGGGGCTCAAACTCATGACCCTGAGATCAAGAGTCATACACTTTGCCAACTGAGCCAGCCAGGAGCCCCGCTTCTCATACTTGTTATTGAATTCCTTAAGATTTTCTGTATACAAGATTATGTCTGCTGCCGACATAGGTAATTAGAGTGCTTCCTTTCCAGTGTAGATGTCTTTATTTCTTTTTCTTACCTACCTGTCTGACTAGGCTCTCCAGTACAGTGTTAAGAGCAGGACGTTGTGTCTTGTTCCTGATCTTAGGGGGAAAGCATCCAGTCAGTCTTTTATCAGGAAGCATGATGTTGCCAGCAGGTTTTCATAGATGGCCTTTATCAGGTTGAGGAAGTGCTCTTTACTACTAGTTTGTTCAGTGTTTGTATCATGTGGTTTGAGAACGTTTTAATTCAGCATGTCTCAGGCACTTATTACGACATCATATTTGGAAATCGGACTGAATATCAGACTAGGGGACCCTTGGATCACAGTCTTCAACTTACAAAAACTGCTGCCAAAGATGAGGCAGAATATCCCTTCACTACCAAGTTGACCTTTCTGACCCTCCCTCAGTCCTCAATGCCTTTTTTTTTTTGCCATACACCTAAATAATTTTTTAATTGAAGTGTAACATACATACAAGTGAAGTGTGTAAAGTGCACTTAGGGTTATCTCCACCCCAGCAGGTGCCTCATGCCCCTTTCCAGTCATTCCCCCCCCTGCAGTGCTAACTATTTTGATTTCTATCGCCAGTGGTCAACTTTGCCTGTTCTTGACCTTCAAATAAATAGAATCCTGAAGTATGTACGCTTTGTTTTCTCACTCACGTTTCTTAAAATAATATCCATTAGATTTAGCCATGATGTATATGTATCAGCTCATCCTTTTTATTGCCGTGTCGTGTTCCATTGTGTGGATGTATAGCAGTGTGTCTGCTCTGTTGGTGAACATTTGGGTTGTTTCCAGTTTGGGGCTATTCGGAATAAAACTGCACATTCTTGTACATGCCTTTTGGTGAGCATGCATGTTGATTTCTGTTGTGTATACAACTAGAATGTGGGGTTACTGCGATAGGGGGCAGCTCTCCGTTCGCCTTTGCTTAACTCCACCAGTAGTTTTCCAAAGTGGCTGCATCACTTTCCACTTCCACCAGTAGTGTATGAGGAGAATTCCACTTGCTCCACATTTTTAACAATGAGTGATAATGTCCCGTAAATTTTAGTTATTCTGGTAAGTTCATACCACACGTCTCTTAAGAATCCTGACTGTTGTGTTTCGCAGCTTTCAAACATGAAAAGAAGCAAAGGTAGAATGGATTACTTACAGAAAAGAACATTTTAATGTTTTGTGGGAATTATCTTCAAGTGCACAGTATTCTTCCCTGCCATCTTGCAGGAAAATACTGACTAAAGCTTTTGTGAGTCATGGGGCGCCTGGGTGGCTCAGTTGGTTAAGCGACTGCCTTTGGCTCAGGTCATGATCCCAGGGTCCTGGGATCGAGCCCCACATCAGGCTCCCCGCTTGGCGGGAAGCCTGCTTCTCCCTCTCCCACTTCCCCTGCTAGCGTTCCCTCTCTCACTGTCTCTCTGTGTGTGTGTGTCAAATAAATAAATAAATAAAATCTTTAAAAAAAATTTTTGCGAATCAAATCGCTTGTATGTAAAACAACTACACGAGTCTAGGAAGTGGCTGATGTAGCCCAGCAGCATCTGTGAGAAAGACCTGTGGGTAACAGTTTGATAGTAAGCTTGATCTGTATCAAGGGAATGACGAGGCCACCTTCTACATTTCCTCCCCACCCCCTCCTTCCACAAGACCTTATTTTGCACTAAGCACGAGAGTGTCTACAGCTTGAGAGGTGGGGGTCCTACTCTCCTTAGCACCGATGAGATCACCTCTGGAACACCGGTCGTAGGGCCAGACTTGAAGAATAATAAGGCGACACCTTTCAACAATGACCTTTTAGTGGAGTGACTTAAAAACAAGTCCTGGAGGAAACATTGAAGGAAAAAGGAGGAAAGATTTACAAGGTTTAATATAATTACATTTCTAATGGGCTGTTCCGTAGAAGAGGGATTAATTCTAAGCAGTCTATGGATGGGACCCACGTGAATGAAGTCTTCGTTTGATATAATAAAGCATTTCTCATCAAGTTGTCCACAGAAAGAGCAACGTTGTGAGGTAATGAGTTCTCTGTCTCTGGAGATGTTCAAGCCTCAGTTGGCCAACCAGTGGGTGGGGCTACTGTATAGAGGAGATTCAAACATCACATGAGTATTTGAACTAGATGAGGTAACCATTAAAGTGCTATGTCAAATCAAGGAGTAGATTGATTGTTCCATGAACTTGTAAAAACTTGGGGTATATTTAATCACGGTTTAATATAATAAGGCTAAGTTAAATGTAGGGAACATGAGTGATGATAATTAGCATCTTTGTGACATTTGCTGTTCTAGGTTTTGCTCTTTGGTTAAAGAGATGATAAGCAACTCAGTGGGCAGTACAGTGGAGCTCGAGGGGGACACCGATGGGGACACCTTAGAGGTGAGTCATAGAAGACCTGCAACATGGAAAAAATTACTTGTATAATTTGTGTCTTTGATGCTTCAAGAAAATGTCCCATTTTTGTGTGTGAAAATCCTTTATATTTAACAATACTCTTGACCATAGGAAACAAACTGAGGGTTGCTAGAGGGGAGATGGGGGGGAATGGGGTAACTGGGGGATGGGCATTGAGGAGGGCACAGGATGGAATGAGCCCTGTTCTACGCAAATGATGAATCACTGAACTCTCCCGATGAAACTCATGATACACTATATGTTAATTAAGTGAATTGAAATGTAAAAAATACTCTTTCATGGCTGCAGCGCAGGGCACAGGAGGAGGGGCAGCCGGAGGTGGGCTGACACCCTCCCCGCTTGGCGCCGCGGTCCGCGGCGTGGGCCGGCCGGCCCAGCGGCGAGCTGACCGAGCTCAAGCTGCTGTGCCAGGGCCGCGTGGGCGAGAGGAAGCTGGAGCGCGTGCCGGGCGGCCTGGCCTTCTGCTCCGTGCTGCTCGAGCGGAAGGCGCTGGGCCCGGCGCGCCCAGGGCTGCTGCTGCGGCGGGGCCTGCACGACGCCGGGGCCCCGCCGGAGGGGCGAGACCTGCGCGCCGCGTTTGACAGCACGGGTGATAATGTGGGGTACGCCTGGAGAAGACCGGCCCCGTGCCTGAAAAGTGTGTGACGCCACGATCGATGCCATCACGGGGCACTATTGCCACAACCCCACGGAGTGGCTGAGGGAGTCGCTGAGAGACTGGAAGGGCACCGAGAGGGAGGCCGCGGCGGCGTCCCGCCTGGCGGGGGCGCTCCGGACCTGGCAGCCGAGCCCGGTGGCCCACCGCCTCCTGGAGGATCAGCAGGCCCCGGGGGCCTCCAGAACGAGCAGTAGAGGTGGCCGCAGCAGCAGTGCTGCGTCCCAGACGTCCTGGGACTCGGAAGGGCCCGCCTTGGGGGCTCCTGGTGACTCAGCTGCTCTCCTCCAGGGGCCCGAGAGCATCCGCACAGCCTGAACTTGGGTTCTCCCACCAGGGTTGACCAAGCGTCTTCCCCGTGCCTGTGCTGTGAAGACCTAGCGGTGAGCAAGACAGGGGGCCCCAGTGCTCAAGGCGTGGCTGGCTTCTCAGAGCTGGCAGTCATCGAGCACTTACTCTGCACCCGGTGGGGCTTTGGGCGCCGTTCACATGCTCTCATTTATTCCTCCTGATCACCCTTGAGAGTGGGAGTCTGTGGTCCCATGAAATGTATCCGTGCAAGAGGAAGTTTGGGATCCATGTCCAGCACGGAGAAGGAACGTCCAGATCAGCAGTTATCAGTGGTGGTGTTCTACAAGTGGGGAAACCCGGCCGAGGTCAACAGCTGGAGGAAGTCCGTAGCAGTGGGAGAGCTGGGCGGAGAACCAAGGCTGTCAGGCTCCAGGGCCCACACTGTGACCACTGGATCATTCTGTTACTCCCACAGTTGGCCAGAGGCTTTGAGGCCATCGGTGTAGACCTGTACACCAGGGCAGGTGGCGTGGGGAAACCTGGTGGGCTCACGGCCCTTGAGTGTGTTAAGAAGGGACAGTGAGGTTTGCGAGGACAGCCTGCAGTCACACCGTTAAGTGCTCAGGGGTGACTGATACATGGTCAGTGCTCTACAAGTGTTAGTTCTTAGAAATATTATGACTTCTGTGATGCCACAGTTTGTTACTATTTTGTATCAAAATCACCATTCTCATAACAGATTTAGTAAGGGAGCCGGATCCTGTAATTTTAAAAAGTGGTCTTCCTGCTTCTAAGGTAATCCTATTAAAGCTTATGCCTTTACGGTGGAAAGCTCCATAATACAAAGAATTTCCCATTCCTGTTGAGGAATAATTCATTTCTCGTATTCTCGAAAGTCCCATCGCGGTCAGTTTCAGTATCTCTTGCAGCTTCCCTTAGGCTGAACTGTGAACAGGGTAGCTGGACTTCATAACAGCTCCAGGAACCGCTAACAAGGGGAGCGTTTGCCCTCAGCAAACTGGTCTGGTAGAGGCTACCTTCCACCAGCTTCGGGCTCACCTGCCGCTGAGAGGCGGCAGAGAGCCGAGTGGCCATCCCTTGTTCCAGCCTTCCAGCTGTGACCTTGGGAAAGCCACACATGATGTCATATCATGCCACCTGGAGCTTAGGTTGCCGAGCTCTTGCCCACGCTGTCCCGCTAAGCTGCGGACCAGCCTCTGAGCCCCTGCACGCCTTCAGCAAGTACTTGATGATGCCGGGCACTGTGCTGGGAGCTGGGGCAGTAGCAGACAATGAGAGAGAAGTGGCCCTGCTCTGTGGACCCCACACGCCTGGCCAGGAACACAGGTGTTAAGCAGCTCAAAACCTCAGGGTGCTGCCGAGGCGCCGAGCCAGTCGCAAGCCCGTACCGGTGCGGCCTGGCCTGTGCCGTGCGCTGTGCATTTCCTCCCCACCCCCACCCCCCCGCCAGTGCACCTGCCTCTTAAGGCCTTGGGTCAGAGCTAGTTCTGTGGATGACGGACACGTCAGCACTTCCAGTAAATGGCAGTGGCTTGGCTAACAGCTTTAGGAAGTAGGTTTTCTGAAAAATGTGTCCCTGTTTCTTGAACAGAGGCAGATTTCAGAGGTGCTTCCATTCCCTCATGCTTTATGACCTAAATTCCTGAAATGTGCAAATGCCAAACATCCTGACAGCCACCCTATATCCCCCTGCATGCTCTCACACCTGAAAGGAGCCCCCAGCCCTCCATCACACCACGTGATCTGATAGAGGCTTCAATGGCCTGTGATTTCTGCACCTGAAATTTTCCATGACCAGCGAGCGGACAGGGCTTGGTCCCCACCACTGCAGCTGGCTTGCTCCTGGGACCTGTCTCAGTCCCACATGCTGTGGAGGGCACTGGGTTTCCCCCAGCACTCCTGTCCTGACACTTCCAAGGAGAGCAGCTCCTGTCCAATCAGTGAGGGAGAAGGAGCACGGGCTCTGGAGCAGCCTCGCGTGACCTCATCTCAACGCCCGGATCAGAATTGAGACTCAGAAAAGATGATGGGTGAGAAGAGTCTCCATGCTGCACCGCTGGGCTGTGCATGCTGCCGGCTTCCCGGGGCCTAGAGGTGGCGTGGCCCCGGCGGCTGGGCACCACCAGGGCAGAGCCGTAGAGCCTGGTGACATGGGGTGAACTTGCACAAGAAGCTGCCCCAGGAGATGGTGGCTCAGAGCCAGGTGGAAGCACCCATTTGTTGAGTTCACACATCAGCAGTCGGGAGGCTTCTGCCGTGACCAGCACCGTGCCAGGCATTGAGGCATGACAACAGGACAAGTAACGTGCCCTCGGAAAGCACACGATTTCCCCTACTTGGTGAAACAGGAAAAGTGTAGTAAAAGTAAATATACATGTATGGCAAAAGCACAAATACTTAATATGGTCACTGAAAACAAAGATACACCATAAAAAAATATAAAGATAAAATACTCTTTTATGAGTCACTGTCCGTGACTTTCAGAGATGAAGTTGAATAGGTCTCTATAGAAGAACCTCATTACTTCAGTATCTTCTCAGCCAGAATATTTAAGAAAAATTTGGCAACGGAAGTAAAATTTTCTTTTGTGTACAACATATAGAAGTTTTTTCTCAGCTGATTAAGAATGTGAGCCTACAAGAGACCTAGGTGGCCAGCTCGTGGTACCCATTTGTCTGTGGATAGACACTTGGGCTGCTTCCATAGCTTGGCTGTTGTAAATAATGCAGTAAACATAGGGGTGCATGTATCTCTTTGAATTGGTGTTTTCATTTTCTTTGGGTAAATACCCAGCATTGGAATTGCTGGATGGTAAGGTAGTTCTATTTTTAACTTATTGAGGACCCTCCATACTGGTTTCCAGAGTGGCTGGACCAGTGGTGCATTCCCACCAACAATGCACAATGGTTCCTTTTTCTCCACATCCTCGCCAACACTGATTTTTTACCTTTTAGATCATAGCCAGTCAGACAGGTGTGAGAATCCCAAGCTCTTGCGGACAGTGCAGCTCTAGTCCAGTTATTACACCATTACACCTGTGTGTCTTTGCACAGCTGTTCAGATTTGCCACTAATTCTGGTCCTCCCATTGATGACAATTTAATGAGATTTTTACTATCAAGTTAGCTTGAAATTCACTCTCTGAGGTTTCTTTCAGAAAGTATCAAAAAGATTCATTTTAATAATTGACTCAGGTACTTGAATTCTTAGTTCAGAATCAGAGTTTGTTGTGGAAATGAACTGAATGATGCACTTTGAAGGTAACAGATGAGGGGGCCAAGAAAGGTGTGAGATAGAAGCCTTTTATGGAGCAGGTTGATGTCTGGTTCAGTCAGACATGACGGGGACCTGTTAGTGATCTTCACTGTCATGAGCATCCTTGGAAGTACGTTGGAAGGGACCAGCACATGTTCTGTGCACTTCTATAAGTAGGCACAGTAGAGCCTAGAAAACAACAGGAGCAAGAATTGCTCAGCCTAGAGTTATATTTGTTTTTATCCTCGAGAAGAACCAACTAGAATGCAGCTGTACAGCAACTTTTGATAATGAGATTGCAGCAACAGAATAGCAATGGCGATTATAGGTGGAATGTGTGCAATGTGTTTGACGCTAGATCTGTCCATCTAAAAGGGGGGGAAGCCCTGCCATGTGCTTTGTATTAAGAACATTTTATTGACCTTCGGTTCTCCCGTGGGCTATAGAAGGAGATTGGTTTCCTGAGAAGCTAATGAAGGATCATGCAGGAAGGCAGCTCTTTGGGGTACTGGACATGGCTTAGAAGCCTTTGTAAATTGCAGCATTAAAGTGGGACAAAATCTCCAAAAGCTGAGGCCACTAAGTTCCATATGAGCTGTATTTTTAAATTTTTTGGATTCCATTTCCTAAAATCATGTTGTGAATGTATGAGTAACTGAGAATTCTACCCTTTGAAAGTAATTACTTAGTGAAAATTACATAAGCTGAGGAATGTGACCTTCCTGGTACTCAAATAATGTTATTTATAAATAAAAAATGGCAGGACAACGTTTAGGCTCTTATGGGGCTCCCCCACAAGTTGTGTGCTTTTTGATCCTGTTGCCTTGCCTTCTTCAGTACGAGTATGACCACGATGCAAACGGCGATAGGGTCGTGCTGGGGACAGGCACATATGGGATCGTGTATGCCGGAAGAGACCTGAGCAACCAAGTGCGAATAGCCATCAAGGAAATCCCGGAGAGAGACAGCAGGCAAGTCAGGGCGGGCCTTCCTTGTTCTCAGGTGCCGCCTCCACACCCACACCCCGTGCCCACCACTGACGGCGCAGGGGACTTAGGAATGAAGGCATCATGTCGTCCAAAACTGTAACGTTCTCTTGTTAGAATGGTGATTCACTTTTGTTCTTTGTGTGTTATAAATAGATGGAGAAAACGGAACAATTTTACTTGGAGGCATGTGGATTGCCAAGAGTCCTATTTTAAAAGAAAACTGTGGTTTTATTTCCACTCATCAACTAGGTCTAAAGTTGTACATTTTTACATAGATAGATGGCAAATTTTTTTAAATGTGACTCAGTGCTTTAATTCATAATGTAACAATTTTAAAGGGCTATGATTTATTCAGATGTATCATTACAGAAAATTAAATGTGGTGAAAAGAAAATTAGCTTTTTGCAGTACAGACTTTTTTTTTTTTATACCCTGCCCTTTAACCTCACCCTCATACATTTGGGGCTATTTTTTTTTAAACCACCACTGTTACTAACTTAATATTTTTTAGAGTCTAATAAATATTCCTTTTTAAAATTCACACTGCCCCCCCAATTCTAAACAAGAATGTTGCAGTGTTGACTGCCAAGTATTTTTGTAGAGAAGCTACATACAGAGTAATGGCCACCACATAAGAAAGAATAGCTCTGTTCTCCACAGACATGTTCAGACGACATCTGCATGTTGCCCTCAGTGCTGACACTGATGGACACATGCAAACAGCCCTCCATCCTGGTGGTCAGTGAATTGTTAGGGATGGGTTACAAGTGCTTTCTAGCAGCTGTAAGACCCTTCATCATTCATCCGTTCATTTAATCACTCATTCATTCATCTGTCTTTTCATTTATGGTATTTGAGCTAGAAGGCCGGTCCTGAAATGAACTCGTCTAGCTTCTTCTAAGGCTGGGAGAGATTAAATGACTTCTTCAAGGACGTGAGGAAACAAGACTGGGATCCAGTCTCTTGAGTTCCTTGTCCGGTATTCTGTCTCTTATGCTCATGCTGGCTAAGGTGGTGCAGTTGTATTTTGGGGGGAGACTGCTGGCATGTACCACCTCCTTTAACTGGTTGCAATAGTTAAGCTTTTTGTTGCCCATAGATTTTCGGGGAATTTTAGAGCCAGAGGGGACCTTAGAAACTGTTTTTGTCCCATTCCCTAAATGTATAGCTGAACTTACAATGTTAGGCACCTTCTCTTTGCCAGATTCTGGACTGGCCCTGGGGACTGACAGGTGCCTAGGATGCTGTCCTGATGTCAGGGTGTTCCTGGTTTGGTAGGGAATGCAGATACCTTGCCTGGGGATCAAAGTGATGAGTGTCACCACGGGGGGTGGAAGGGGGTCAGTGCACAGAATGTTTGTGGAAGATAGGAGAGGAATCACTTACTTTTCCTGAGTGAGTTGTGGTAAGTTTGAAGAAATAAATCCTCTTTGAGCTGGTCTTTGAGGGATGAGTAGCAGTTCATCTGGCAGAAAAGGAGAGGCCAGAGCATTCCATGCAGAGGAAAGAACAGAGCTGTTAAAGCACAGAGTGTATTCAGAGAACAACAAATTATCTGTTGTGACTCGAATGTAGGATGGGGGTGGGGGCGCTCCTGAGATGAGGCAAAATTTTCAGTAGATGTAGTCTGACTTGAATTTGAAGTTCCTCCTGTGCCATGTTAAGCAATATGGTCTTTGTATGGACTTGATGATCTGATGAGGTGTGTGTTTCAGGAAGAGGAAATATGGCAACCAGAGGAGAATAGACTAAAGGAACCCGACGCTGGGCTAGGAGGTCCATTAGGTAGCCGTTGTTATAGTGTAGACTGAGTCTGCGGAATGAGACTAGAAGGCAGCTGAAGACAGAACCTTCTGCAACACGACTCTTCATGAGAGGCAGAGGAAGAGGGCCTGCTCAGAGAGGCAAAGCATAGTTGGAGAGTTGAGACCCTAACGAGAGCAGTCGTTTGTTGAGTACCTCCCATATACAAGGCACGCTGGTGGGTGCCTGAGACACTTGACACGCTTCGGCCTTTGGCAGCCCTGCGTGGCTGGTAGAGCTGTCCCCTCTTTTACATAAGGGAAGCTGCCTACTCTTACGGGAGCCAGGAGCAAGACCATTTCCAGAGGGAAGGACGGCCAGCAGCAGGACGGGTACTGGCACAGTGCCGTGCGGACCGCAAGCCCCGAGGATCTGGCAGGTGATGCTGGCTTTGCTTTTCTTACTAGGTACTCTCAGCCTCTGCACGAGGAGATAGCCCTGCACAAGTACCTCAAGCATCGCAATATTGTTCAGTACCTGGGCTCTGTTTCGGAGGATGGCTACATTAAGATATTTATGGAGCAGGTGCCTGGGGGTGAGTAGTCACTAGTATTCTGGTCTCACACGCTGAAAACCACTGATGAAAATAGAATGTGAACATCATCATCCAACTTGCCATTTAAAAAGTGACAGACCTTTTAGATATGGGAGAACATTTGTTTCTCAGAGGGGTTGGATACAAACTTTCCAGTGTCACATAGTCTGTTTCTGGTTTAATTCAGTCATCAAATATTCATTGAGGATCTACTGAGTGCCAGCCGCTGGGCTAAGCACGGAGACAGATGAATAAAGCATAGTCTCCAGCCTTGAAGCCTTCATGGTCTAGGAGTTTAAAGATAATTTGGAGACGAGGGGACAGAGGTTTTAAAAATGACACTGCAGAATAACATGTTTACTGTGAAATCAAACGCCAGTGCCTTACCCACAGAATCCCCCAAATGCAGGCAGTATTGTGGGGGGGGAGGAAGAGTTCCTCTGATCTGCAGCCAGAGTGTCTAGCTTGAGTTGGTCCCTCCATCTGCAAGCTGTGGGACCTCAGGCAAATTCTTTACCTCTGTGCCCCCTCAGTTTTCTGATTGAATAAATGAATTGTAAAATTGGAGTACTAATAATTACTCTAATGATTGGCGTTGTAATAATTATTGGGTCGGTAAGGACCCTAGGTCAGTGGGTTGTTGGATGGATCAAATGAGATAGTGTATGTAAAGCTTTTAAAATGGTGCCTGGCAGAGAGCAAGAGCTCAATAAATGTTCATTTAAAACAATAATAAAATTAATAATGAAAATTATGATCTGAGTGCAAACACAAAAACTTCAGTTAGAAATCTGTGTGCAGGGGCATCTGGGTGGCGCAGTCAGTTAAGCATCCAACTGTGTTTCGGCTCGGGTCATGAGACCGAGCCCTGCATTGGGCTCCATACTCAGCACGGAGTCTGCTTGAGATTCTCTCTCCCTCTCCATCTGCCCCTCCAGCTCATGCTTGCTCGCTCGCTCTATCTCTCTAAGATAAATTAATCTTTTTTAAAAAAAGAAGAAATCTGTATTCATTCATTGCTTTAACCAACAGCTATTAAGAGCCTACTTTCCTATCAAGAACCTAACTGTGTATATTGAGAGCTGGGTAGTGGGCTGGATTTTGAAGGTTACATTAAGGATAAAATACAATTTCTTCTTCTCTCAGGTTGCTCCTAGTCTAGCAGAAAATAGGTCAGTTGCTGTTCACGTTAAATGATTTTCCAAGGGTAAGGTTTAAGGATGACAGCAGAATTGGAGAAATGTGCACATCCCCTTTTACAGATGGAGAAAAACTGAGGCATAGCAGGGTTCCTTCAGCACTGGGTAAGGTGTCAGGCTGAGGCTGGCTGGTGCCCAAGGGCCTGCACAGTGACCCCTGAAACACATGGTCAGAATAATACAGTGAAGGTTGGTTTTCTTTGGGCCCAAAGGTTCAATATCTAATATAATAAGGGCAGGGACGTTAAGACAGTCCTGCCCCTGTGACCCAACGCAGGGGGCTTCTCCCACTGAGGATGAACAGACCCAAACTCCTCTGAACCTAGCCCCTGTCTCCCTAAATGGCCCCTCATTCTGGTCCTGTCCACCTCTGAGTTCAGGGCCAGGTATAAAACGTGGCTTTGACCCAAGCCAAATGGCCAAGACGTTTGTGCAGCATCTGCAGCAGGGGGCCGGCCCTCCCCAGGCCAGAGTGCATTGTTGTGCGCTCTCCTCCTGACTTTGTGCGGCATGACAGAGTCTGTAAAACCAAAAGGAGCCCTGCTGAATTTCAGAGGTCCCAAGGGACTCAGGTTCACCCTCCCTCTGCGGTGCCTTCTCTGGCCGCACGGCAGGCACGTCTGGGAGCTGGCAGCAGAGGGAGGAAAGACTGCAGTTAGCCCCAATGCAGTGGTGTTGGCGTGATGGCAGATGTGCGGTGAGATATCACCTCACTTTGCTTCCCTGGCTCTTAGGACTGAATCTTCATCGCCCTGCTGAGTTTTCTGCTGTGTCCCTTTCCAGGAAGCCTTTCTGCTCTTTTGCAATCAAAGTGGGGGCCAATGAAGGAGCCCACCATCAAGTTCTACACCAGGCAGATCCTGGAAGGCCTGAAGTATCTCCATGAAAACCAGATTGTGCACAGAGACATAAAGGTACTTGCTGGTGTCCACCAACGCGGCTTCGTTTGTGCCTCTGAGACCCTGCCAGCTGCTGGCTGGCCGGGTCTGCAGACTGCCCAGTTCAGAGAAGGGAAGGAACTGCGCGTGGCCGCCCCCAGAGTGCTGAGGCTAGTCTTGCTAGAGACTTGAGACCGTTTCTTAAGGTCCAAAGCATTTGAGGTTCTTCCTTTTCTACAGGGTGATAACGTTCTGGTGAATACCTACAGCGGAGTGGTGAAGATCTCTGATTTTGGAACCTCCAAACGGCTTGCAGGAGTGAATCCGTGCACCGAGACTTTTGCTGGTAAGCGGGACGGGGCTGGGCACGGGCAACCGTGCCGGAGTTATGGTTCCTGAGAGCCTCAGCGTGGTGTGGCCAGTCGGTAATGAAAGCCGACCATGTATGGTCCCCAAGTTCAGATGATTGGAACCTTACTTATAATGGTGCACTGAGCCAGAGACTTGTGGCCACGATCGTGCCTTACTGTCGTTGTCATCTTCAAAGGTTGGGTGGGTGTGGCTCTCTCCTTGAGGTTTTCTGAGGGTTTCTAACCATTTGGCAAAACAGCATCTCTTTTAAGTTGTGAGTAATTGTGAATCACAGTAGTCCTCAGACAACTCATGAGGGCGTTTTACTGGTCTGTCCTAAAAATAGCCTGTTCCTGAGTGAGTTCTGGTACCTCGTGTACTTTGATACGGTTATGTTTCCAAGGGAAGCTGATGGTTCTGGGGAATATGGTCTTGTAGGTGGGATCGAGAGGTTGGATTTTGTCTTCCACGACTCAGTGATGGACTCATGGAAACCTTGAGAGGGACTGGATTCAGAGTGCTACGAAATGACCAGCTAGCTTTCCATTTACCAGACCAGGGAGTCGAATGAGGTTCAAAAAGCTACCTGTGGCTTTTTGAAATTCCTGCTTAAAAAGAATCGATCCCTGGAAAGAAGTACTGATTTTGAAAAAGTAAAAGTTTGTGGTCCCCTAAGGTATAATAAAAGGATCACAAAGATCCTGCTTGAAGGAATTAAGAAACAGTGCTTAGAATATGATAGCTCTGAAGTAATCTATATAAAAGAAGCATGACTGTTCTCTGTCCCTGGAGCACCGAGCTGTGCAGTGGACAGATTTGGCCTTGGCTTTAGTGCATAATGTCTCAGCTTTGAAAAACTTCTCTTCAACAAGAGGGTTGTTGTATGTCGACCGCTGGACGCCCACGGTGGAGACACATTCTCTATCTAAAGAGAACTTTTATTTCTCAGGACTGACATCTCAGTTGTAACACCAGAGGAGGTACGTGCACCTCGAAATGGAAAATATCACACCAAAGACTCCACCAGAATCTCACAAAAAGTGTACTGAATTTTCATTGATTGTTTCTGATAGAAATATACATGTATCAACATGTGTATGTCAGTATGTATGTATGTATGACTGGCACGTTTTTTTTTATTACCCTAATTGCAAATGACTTATATCCTCCTCTTTGGAAGCCACCAATTAGCTTGGCAGTGTGTAGCAAGAGGGTCTCTGATACGACAAGGAGTCATTTCAAAACATAAAACCCCTGACAATTTACCTCGTAATTAGCATCCCCAAGGAGAAGAAAAAATTCACAAAATGCATGTATAATCCATTATCGCCTATCACATTTTCCCAAGTAATTGGCTTGAGGAGGCATGCATTTTGCATTGCAAAATAATGCAGGGGTGTTTGGGGGATAATAAAGAAGGGGTCTCATTTTGGGTAGGAAATTCCCCTGCATATCATTACTCTTTGCAACACAGAGAGGTTCTGTAAAGAAGTCTCAGCTGGTTCCTGCAGAGCCCTGCTTGGATGCTTGAGGACATGGCTGGGCTTTTCCATGCAAATGCCCAGAGGCTGTCGGAGCCTGGAAGGGGAGCCAGAGGCTAAGGCAACTTCTGGCCCTGAAGCCTCCCCTCCTGTGTTCCTCTGAAGGGCTTGCACTGTAGGTATAAGCCAGCTAGAACGGAGGAAGGGCCAGTATGGCTAGGGTCAGCCCCCTCTGCTTCTGGTTTGTTTGTTTTTTTAACAGCTTTATTGGGGTATAAAGTGCACCTGTTTGAAGTGCACGATCCAGTGGTTTCTCAAAAACTTTCCGAGTGTGCAGCCTTTGCCACGGTCCAGTTTTTGAACATTTCTCTCGCTCCAAAAAGGTTCCTGTGCCACCTTGCAGTCCCCGTCCCCACCCCAGCCCCAGGTGACCACTGATGTGCTCTCTGTAGAGAGTTGCCTGCTCTGGAGATTTCACACAAATGGAAGAGTAGGTAGTCCTATGTGTCCAGCTGCTGTCACTTTGCATAGTCTCGTCCAGGTCCATCCATGCTATGCCGTGTATCAGTACTTCATTCCTCTTCTGGCTGAATGGTATTCCATGGTATGGATAGACCATATTTTGTTTACCCATCTACCATTTAGTGGTCATTTAGATTATTTCCACTTTTTGACTATTGTGAACAGTTCTGCTCTGAACAGTCAAGGACAAACCTTTGTGTAGACCTAAGTTTTCATCCCTCTCGGGTAGATGCCTAGGGCTGGATCTTGGGACAGGAACTCTGTTCCGGTCTATGGCTGTGGACATCTTTGGTTCAAAATCTGGCTCATCCACTTGCTTGCTAGCTGTGTGACTTTGGCCATGTTACTTCATGTCTCTGTGCCATACATAGTTTCTTCATAAATGGAGATGCTCCTAGTACCATCTCAGAGGGCTTTTATGAGGAGTAAATAAGTTAATATTGGTGAAGTGCTTTGACCAGTACCTGACTCACAGCAAGTGCAACGGAAGTATTTGTCAATAAAATAAATACTAATTTGCACTTAGAAGTCCCAGATTATTAGGGCTGGCAGGAGACTTTGAGAGAATCAAGTTTCTGTGGGTAACTAATATGTTGAACCTGTCAGACTCAGAGGCTGTAATCATAAAAGTCATCTCAGATTTTTTTTAAAAGATTTTATTTATTTGACAGACCAGAAGCAGGGGGAGCAACAGGCAGAGGGAGAAGGAGAAGCAGGCTCCCCGCCGAGCAGGGAGCCCGATGCGGGGCTCGATCCCAGGACCCTGGGGTCATGACCTGAGCTGAAGGCAGACGCTTAACGACTGAGCCACCCAGGTGCCCCAAAAGTCATCTCCTCTTTGTCTCCCACTGCCCTCTACGTCCTGTCCAGGACAGGAGTCCTTTCCTGAGTCTTTGCCAGCTACCCTGAGACAACCGAGAGAAAGTCTTAATGGCACTTTGAGAAGCAAACCGTCTGAATTAGGTAACTGAAAGGAGCCCTGCTAATATACTTATCAGCACTCTGGTCCTCGCTCCAGGGACAGTGCTCTTCCCCTGTGGCTGCGGGTCTAGCGGCAGGCAGCATGGAATCTCGCCTTTTCTCGCCTGACTCCCACCTCCTTCCCTGCTCCCCAGCTGGGAACACTTTCCTGCCGGGTCCCTCTGAATGTGACTCCCACGTGCTGGGCAGAGACCTGTCCTTTAGCTGACTGCCCGCTGCCCCCACCACTTTTATCCCTCACATTGTATTCACTCCTCCATTTTTTTTCTCCTGAGGGATTCAGGCCAAGGGAGATGGCCTTTGAGCAGGAGTCCTTTTAAAAAGACCCTAGGGGGCGCCTTCGTGGCTCAGTCGATTGAGCATCCACCTCTTGATTTCAGCTCAGGTCCTGATCTCAGGGTCGTGAGATCGAGCCCTGCTTGGAGATTGAGTCCTGCTTGGAGCTCCGCACTAGGCGTGGAGTCTGCTTAAGGTTCATTTTCACTCTCTCTCTCTTTCTCTCAAAAAAAAACCCTAAAGCAGTATTTCTGCAATGGGTCCCACATCTAGTGTCCAGAGATCATACATCTTTCACCCACTGTCAAGAGGGCGTGGTGACACCACCAGACCCTATGAGCTGATGCTCTAAGCTGCTTTTCCTTCCATGGGAACCAGTCCTATGTGCAGCTCACCAGCAGGGGACACACACAAAGACAGCTCTGTGTGGGGGCCAGCCAGGAGCCCTCAGAAGCTTTGGGGCAGGACAAAGTGGTGTCCCGTCCTACCACACCCATCCTTGGGCAGGGCAACCAGAGTGGCCCCTGGGGCCACAGGAAGCACCTTATTTCTCTTTTCTGTACTTCATTAATAGGAAATTTTGAAACTTTGGGCTCGGGCTCGGTATTTTCCAGAGCCTGTAGAAGATGCTTATGTATGTGGCCTCCTGTCAAGTGCGACGGTCCGGAGTGAGTGTTAAGTTGCCTGAGTCGCCATTTTGGGCACAGCCCTTCCCCGACTCCTGTATTGAGAGGGCAGACCTCCCGGCACAGCAGTGTCTAAAGAAGTAGCTTTCAACAGTTCCCCCTCCGGTCTCTCCTTTCTCCACCTTTTTAACACCTTGATCCAGGTGGAAGTCCCCTGGGCTAAGGGCCTGAGTGCGAGGTGTGTAACCAGTTGGATGACGCCCCCTTGGAAACATGGACCCGTCGTCAGTCTCTCGCCCCGTGCCTTGGTGACTGGCTTTTATCTTAGCACCTCGATCAAAACTTCTAAAGTGCTGCCCTATGCCATGCATTTTCTTTGCCAGCAATTTGAAAATCCTGCTTGGGCAATTGTCTAGGAACCCCCAATCAATTTCATGTCCCCAGGGGGCTGGGTCAGTGCCTGCAGGTCTCCTGTCTCCATGTTCTGAACTCTGCACCCCTGGTCGGGCATAGCCAGCTGAGAGTCATGGCTGGCTGGCCAATCGAGTGACCTGTGTGTGGGCACACCTTAGGGGACGTGCAGTTGAGAAAGGACGTGACGCCCTTAAGAGAGCCAGGTTAAAGGCAAGCAAATTTCCCAGCATTTCTGCATTAATCAGATGCCCACCCGCCCCACCCCGCCCCGGCATCTTTACTTGGTTTCTCAGCAGAAGCTATTCTGGTGCAGCTGATGTACACCCAAAACATGCACACCGCTTGGGGACAGTCCCTTGACTATTTGAAATAGTTGTGTGGCTCCGTCACTGTTGGATGTTTACTCTGAGTGGGTGGTTTTTTCTAGGAATATGGTAGTCAGTAAAACGGAGCACCCAGTTTTTGATTACTGCTCTCCACCTTCCAGTGACATGAGACCAAGTCACATGATAGCTTTGGAAATCCTTGCATCAAGTCCACTTTTGTTCAGGCACCATTTGTTTCACTCATGCTCCTGCTCGATTCCTTGCATCTGGTTGGCGATGTCATGGTGAATAGCTCCCGATGTGGAGACCGAAGACCTGAGTTCTAGCTTGAGCGCATCCCCTACCTTCTCTGAACCTCATTTGCCTCCTATACAAAATGGGAATCACAGTAGATAGTGCCTCTGCCCAACCTTCACAGAGACAGCACTATGTAGTGATGTTTTTGTAAGCTATTGAGTACTAATGGGCAGTCAGGCCAGCAGCCTTCAAGATGGCCACCAGTGCCCCCCCCCCCATTCACAGCCTTTTGTAATCCCCTCCCCTTGAATGTGGGCTGGACTTAGTGACTCACTTCTAATGAACAGATGAAGGTAGAGCGGCAGTGTGTGACCTGGAGGCCAGGTCAGAAAAGACAGTGTGGCATCCTTCTTGCTTGCTGTCTTTGGGTCACTTGCTCTGGGGGGAAGTCATGTCTTGAAGATCCCATGTGGTGAGAAACTGAAGCTTCTTCCGAAGCCCCACCTGAGCTTGGAAGTGGATCCTCCAGCTCCATTCTGGGTTTCAGATTACTACAGCCCAGCAGGTAACTGGACCACAGCCTACCCAGCTGTTCCTGGGTTCTGACCCTTAGAAACTGTGAGATCCTAACTCCTGTTTTAAGCCACTAACATTGGGGGTAATTTATTACATAACAATAAATAACTAATATGGATGTCATTGCTAAGTTCCTACCTTTGTAAAGGGTGATGTTCACTATGTTTCCATACAAAGAAAATCTCCAAGTTTAGCACCAAGCAGACTTATCCCCCAGTTTTGAAACTGTTGTGCTGAAGTGCAGTTACTTGACCAGCGTCAATAAACCATTGCAGTTTGGTTTAGTGATATTTTCTATGTTGCATAACTTTGTAAAAGTTTATTCTCTTGCTCTTTAACTGTTAGGGGTACCTAGCTGGCTCAGGTGGAAGAGCATGCGACTCTTGATCTTGGGGTCCTGAGTTCGAGCCCCACGTAGGGTGTGAGATTACTTAAAAATAAATAAACTTAAAAAAACTAACTTTTAGTGATTGTATTAGTTGGCATTCAGGCAGGAAAATCAAAATCACCCCACTTATTTTTACAGAGAGAATTTAGTAGAACTGTTAACTGGGACTGAGCTATCCCCCTAGGGCTTGGGCGGGGGGCAGAATGAAGGGTAGAATTGGAACCTTTCAGGAGGGTATTACTGGACTGGAACAGGTAACAGCGGGGCAGGGCAAGATGAAGCTGGTTCTGAAACTATGAAGGGACAAAAAAGCTAGAAAGTGGAGCCAAGCACTGCTGCTGGAACCAGTTGAGGGTCCAAAGGGAAGCTCCCGCAGAGGAACAGCAGCAGATGGTGGGGAGCAAGTAACCTCTCCTTCCTCCTTCCTTGTAGGTATGCGTGAGCACACCCCGGTTGCGCTCTCGGGTTCTCTAGCGCCTCCAAGTGACAGCATAACAGGAAGCTGCCTCAAAGCAGAAATGTGGTTTGCAGGGTCCCTAGCCCAGCATCATAGAGCAGAGCTGAGAGATAATAGCTTAACAAACCGCACCGTGTCAAGTGTTTCCTCGATTAATGGCTTGTGAATTAGTTCTAAGGCACATCCCCTGCCAAGGCCTCTCCCTTCACTATTCACAGCAGTACAAGCCTGGGAGGGGAGATTGTGTCACTGGAAGTTCCATCCCTGGGGCGCTGGGATTTCCTAACAATGCAGCAAGTGCTGCGAGCCTGTCTTGCCTAACCCTGCAGCCAGCCAAACATTTCCCTACCAGGTTTTCAGCTTCGAAAACCAAAGCCATCATTTGGGCCCTACTGATCTGTTGAGCGCACGGACCCAGCCCAGTTTGTATTGAACCTTAAATTAGTTTGACTTTTTAAAAATTAAAAGAAATTAAAATTCTTTTCTTCAGTCTCACCAGCCATATTTCAAGGGCCCAACAGTTATATGTGGCTAGCAGCTACCATATAGAACTGCATAGAACATTGTCATTATTGCAGAACGTTTTGTGGGAGGCACCTGGGTGGCTCAGTCTGTTAAGCGACGGACTCTTGGTTTTGGCTTAGGTTACGATTACGATCTCAATCTCAGGGTCGTGGGATCGAGCCCTGGGTCAGGCTCCACACTAGCATGGAGTCAGCTTGTCCCTCTCCCTCCCTGCACTTGTGCGCTCGCTCTTTCTCTTAAGTAAATAAATAAATAAATAAACATCTTTTTTAAAAAACATTCTGTGGGTCAGAGCTTTTCAAATGGTCACTGGAAAGAAAAATGCTAAAACACATTGGATCTTCAAGAAGAAGATGTAGTAGGTAGTTTCTCCATTTTTTTTTAAACCAACAAGCCCTTTGTTTTCATTGATTAAGATTCTGGAAACCTGCTTTGATTGCGTGATATTGAGACAGGCACTTGAATTTCTCTGGGCATCAGTGTTCTCTGTTCACGCCTTGGCCAGTGACCTCTGCCAAGTTCACTGTTATAAACCACTTCGCCAGCACATAGGGTCTGTTGCTGCTGCTTTCCTCTGCCTTAGTTTCAAGAAGAACCTACGATTGTATTCCCAGAGCCCTGATTGACCTCCCTGCCCCCATCTCTGCAATCCCTTCTCCTTCCAGTGCTATACCTGATCCCCACCTTCCCTGTGGCCACCTCTGGTGGCTTGTGACCCACAGGAGAAAGTCCAAAGCCAGAGCCTTCATTATTCACTGCTTGCCGTTCGGGCTGTTCCCAGGCCGCTGCCTCCTTAATTTTTAATTCTTAACTTCCTGCCCTGTGTCAGACTTCACTTGTGGTTCACAGAACTCGCTCTGTACGTCACACCCTTGTGCCTCTGCTCAAGCTCTTCCCTTGGCCTGGGAGTCCGCCCATCCCTTTGTCCACGTCTTTGACCTTCACGGCAGGTGGCGAGTTCACAGGCAGCACCATCTGCCACCTTTTGAGGATTTGCCTCCACCTTCCCAGCGGGGCCATGCTTTACCTTGCTTGCTCCTGCCCAATGACGGCACATGGCGGAGCTACTAGAACAACGTGGGACTCCTCCAGTGGGCAGCTTTTGGTCAGGGACGCCCCTGTGGCCCGGCTGAAGGGTCTGAGCTGCTCTTCTGAGACTGCCTCCCCACCTCTTCGTTCCCCCTCTCCTTTCCCACGTGTCACGTTGGCACTGAGGGTGACTGCTCTCCCTGCCCATCTTGTTCCTTCTCCCTTTATCACTCATATGCTTCTCCCCAGTAAGCCTCTCCTATGTCTAATCCTGTCTTGGCATTTACCTCTCAGAGAACCAAGTTGATCCAGATAGAGCTTTTCCTGACCGGAAGCAGGCGGAGTCCAGCACATTTTCCATCCACGTTCTCAGACCCCGCTGTTCTAGCGCCTGCTCCACTTTCCCACCATCGCCATCTTGTCTGTCTCCTCCACTTGGCAGCTCCTCAATGTTGGGCACTGTGTTTCTCACCTTCTGTGTTTCCCCACATCTGGTGCACCCTACTATGTGCTTGTTGTATTGGATCGGGGCCCATTTATCCTTCGAGGAGCTGGGCAATCTTCTGTCGTTGTGCCTAGTATCAAAGGAAGGCACGTTGCATGTCTCTGATCAGAGAAAGGATGCAACCACATCATTTATGCCTGAGAGCAGGCTCCATCTATCATCAGTGAGAGGGTTAAAGTTCACACACTTGTTTACTAATGGTCCACTTACATGTTTGAGCAATAGGGTGCCCACGAGCTCTATTACTTTTTTTTTTTCCCCCCACAGGCACTCTGCAGTACATGGCACCTGAGATTATCGATCAGGGACCTCGCGGGTACGGTGCCCCGGCAGATATCTGGTCCCTGGGCTGCACCATTATCGAGATGGCCACCAGCAGGCCTCCGTTCCATGAGCTCGGCGAACCGCAGGCAGCGATGTTCAAAGTAAGACATGTTTGCTGATTGAAGTTGCTGGTGTTGGGGAAATAATAAGCCAAAAGGAAACCTCCTGCCACTCTGGAAACCTCTCCACGAAGGTAGAAGAGAAAACCATTTTATCACTGAATAAGCATTACATCAGAATGTGGTGCGGGTCACAGGCCATCCACCAAGTGATTGCAAAGACAGAAAGGACGTGTCCTTCTCTTGAGCTCAGCAGTACCGCCCTTTACCACCCATGTTGTCAGAGGGAATGATGATTGGTCCTCCCGTGCGTGGACTGGAGAGCGCCACGGGACACACTAGTGCGTCCAGGGGGCACCTGGTGATTGGGATGACCGTTTGCATTAGCTAATTGGCTTTACCCAAAGGAAAAATAAACTTCTCCTATTTTGGGGGACCCCTGAGTGGCTCAGTTGGTTAAGCATCTGCCTTGGGCTCAGGTCATGATCCCAGGGTCCTGGGATCGAGCCCCGCATCGGGCTCCCTGCTCGGCGGGAAGCCTGCTTCTCCCTCTCCCACTCCCCCTGTGTGCATGCACAGGTTCTCTCTCTCTCTCTCTCTCTCTCTCTCTCTGACAAAATCTTTGAAGAAAAAAAAAAAGGAGGTAGTTTTGGAGCAAGACGTTACTTTAGTTAGGCTCTTCCCTACCCGCTGGAACTGGGAGGTGGGGACATCTCCTCCTTGATGTTGACATTTCCAGGAGTTGGCCCCCAGGTCCTTGAGAAAGACATTCTTGCCAAGAGGTTTATTCACCTTTTAAAAAGATTCACATGCATCTCACAAAGATCAAGAACTTGGAATTACACGTTTTCTAAAGTGCTCTAAGAAAAGAGGGGGGTCTCCCCTTATTTCCATCAGGGAGGATGAAGCCTCTGATTTTGAATGTGTATTTGCCCTTACACTGGGCAAGGCTCAAGGCCACATGAGTCTGTGTCTTTGGAGGGCAGGTTTCTAACTGGGTTTTGAAGAGGTAGGACTTCGGATAGCAGACGGTGATTACTTTGTCATTCTAAAAGCCCTCCCAGAACTGGCAGGGCACCCCATGTGTTGAGGCCCACTTAGGACTGACTGGCCACTATGGGCGGGGATTTTACCCCCCAGGTCTTCTTCCTTGGGAAGGGACATGTTTGCCACCCCAGGGGAAGCTGACGCCAGGACAGCCCCATGTGTCTCAGGTCAGGTCTGCGGCTTCTGGCTCTTTGTGCAGAGAAGTTAAAGAGAAGCTGTGGCGTTAAGAGTCCCTTGCCAGCCCCGGCCTTCCATGGAGCATTTGTGTTCGCCTCAAGGCTAAGAAGGAAGAGAGTGGGTTCACTGCTTATGGCCGGTGAGGTCCCAGCACACTGAAGCAGCCCGATGGAACAGGATCCAGAGGCCTTGCTTCCTGCTTCTCTGCCGGGTGTGCTGGCCCTCAGCCTGTCGGCCCGCATCTTTGCCGGACGCTCCCGCTCCCTCTTGGGCAGAAACAACTAAAAGGCATGAGTGCAGGTTTCGGCCAGCAAGCTGAGTGCAGGCCGCTCAGCAGACCGAGCACCCTGCGCTGCCGGAGCTGCGGCTGCTCCCCTCGGCCGGCCCCTGCAGAACCTTCTCAGGGCTTCCCACCCTCCCAGCCGCTGTCAGGCAGCTCCAACGCCAAGACCTCAAGTCAGCAAGTATCTTCTGGCACCCACAGTCTCAACAAGACCCTGAACACCAGGGCTAGGGGACAGCAATGACCTTCCCCATCCTTAGTGTTGATCCGTGATGGAGCCAGGGGCGGTTTTTGAAGATCTTACCCGCAGCTTCATCACGGGCCTCGGGATGATAGATAGTAGCCTGTGCTGAGAAAAACATCAGGGCCTGAGCAGTGATGCTGTGAAGAGACACAGCGCCACGTGAAGGCCAAGGTGAGGGTGATGTGTCTACGAGCCGCAACCACCAGAAGCTGGAAGAGGCGAGGAAGGATCCGCTGGGGGTTTCGCAGGGAGTGTGGCCCTGTTGGCACCTTGATTTTAGACTTCCAGCCTCCAAAACTGTGAGAACATCAATTTCCATAGTTTGAAGGCACCGAGTTTGTGGTGCTTGGTGACAACCCCCCCCCCCAGCAGACTAATGCAGGGACCCCTGGAGTAATAGCAAAGCACCTATAGAAAGAATGTATTGGCACGGTGCCAAGGTGCTGCCCACATCTGCTGTTTCCTAAGAGTCTGAAGGCAAGCCATTCCTTCTTGGGGTTCTTGTCCTGAATTTCTGTCTCGGGCCCCCTAGTGCCCTTCCCTCCCTGCCCCTTAGGTGAGGGGCGCCACTTGTCATGTGTTCTGCATTTCACATCTTAGGGGTTATATTCCATCCAGCGTTTAATGTTCTCAAAATCTAAAACTCGACTTAAAAGCTTGTATTTTATTGTGGTACGAATAGTTAACATGAGCTCTGCCCCCTTACAAACCTGAAAGCGCATACGACGGACCTGCTGAGTCTACGTACCGTGTTGTACGACAGAGCTCCACGGTGTATTCATCTTGTTGACCCGAAACCTTGCGCCCTGCGATGAGTAACTCTCTGCTCCCCCGCCTCCAATCCCAAACTCTGGAGCCTCCCTCCATGGTGGGCTTGGGGCTCCAAGAGGACTAGAACAGAAGCCCCAAGACCTCTTACGGCCTAGGCTCTGAAACTCCTCTGATAACACTTTTCCTGTGACCTACGGGGCAAAGCCAAGTCCCAGGAGGCCAGCCGGGCGAGCCATTGAGGATCTCATCCACCGGCCCCTCAAAGGATGGCAGGGGTGGGAGCTTTGTATTGAAGGCTTGTACACCTGGGTGTGCCTGAGGCCTCACAGTCACATTGGTCACCTCTCCCTTAAATGCAGGTGGGGATGTTTAAGATCCACCCTGAGATTCCAGAAGCCCTTTCAACAGATGCCAGAGCCTTCATTTTATCCTGTTTTGAGCCTGCCCCCCACAAACGTGCCACCGCTGCTGAGCTGCTCAAAGAGGGTTTCTTAAGGCAGGTGAACAAGGGCAAGAAGAGCCGAATCGCTTTCAAGCCGGCAGGTGAGGTGTACCTGGACAGCTGGGGGGCCGCCCTGGGCGCGGTGATACCCGAGCTCCTCTGTCACTGGGAGAAGACGGAGCCTCCCGCATGGCGCCCGTTGCTGTGAGGAGTGGCAGGGATGGGTGTGGGGGTTGTCGGACCCCAGCCAAGGAATGGCCCTTGATTTCCTGACAGGCGCAGGGAGGCCCTCAGGTGACAGCGGTACACCCCCCTTGTTAAAGTCTTTCCTTTGTGATTGTGCCGAGGAGGGAGGCCAGAGGTGCCTTGGCTGGGGTTTTGGGTCTTCCCTGGCCTTTCCCCGTGTGCTGCTCCTGACCTTGATTAAGGGGCACATCTGGGGAGTTTGCCTGCAGCAGCTGTCCCACAGGCCACGGGAGCCAGGTGACCCCTTCTAGGGCATTGAGTCCTACCCAGCAATGACATAAAAATGGCCCCCGAAAACGAAGCCATTTGTTGTCTTGTCCTGGTGTGGATGGAGTCAGAAGCCAGGACAGGGAGGCTTGGCGGCTTGCTCCCACTGCGGCTAGCTGTGTCAGCGTTTCCTGTGGGCTGCTTAGAAGCGCAGTCTCGCGCCTATCTCAGACTTGCTCAAGTGGAACCTGCGTTTCAGGGACCCCTGGGTGATGGATTGGGCTGCCCCGTTAGAGCAGCACAGACTTCGCAGGCCCCTGCGTGGGTCACCTGGCCTGAGGGGCGGGCTGAGACTCCCCTCCCCTCTCCCTGTCTGCCCCCACACAGAGAGTACCTGGGGCACCACCCTAGCCCTGCCCACGTCCGGGGAGCCCCTGGGCAGCAGCAGCAGCGAGCACGGCTCTGTCTCCCCGGACTCTGATGCCCAGCTGGATACGTTCTTTGAGAGGGCTCGGGCACCCAAGCACCGGCTCAGCCACCTGCTCAGGTACGGCCCAACCCTTCCCTCCGCTGTGGGCCTGTGAGGGGGTACTGGCGTTCACCAGGGGCCAAATACCTCCCAGGTCAAAACCAGATGGCGGCCAAGGGCTTTTGCTTGCTTTCTGCGCCGTCAGTGGGCCAACGGTGCAGGGGAGGAAGGCAGCGGGCTGCATGTTCACTGCAGTCGCTTACGCCCCTCCCTCCTCCCTTCCTCCCCTCACTACCCCTTCTCTCCTATCCCCTTTGCCCCTCCTCCCATCGTCCCCTTAATTATCCCCTTATTCTCTCCCCCTTCCCCCCCACCCCACCTTTGTCCTCCCTCTCCCAACACTGGTGCTCCTGGGGTTAGAAAAAAACACTGCATCTCTCTTCCATCTGCCTGCCTCCTGCAGTTTCACCTTGAGGGTGGGGACTGCAGGGGGAGTCACCACTTAGCCCCTCCTCCGCGGCGTCCAAGCGTGGAGACTTTGTTCTGGGACGCACAGGGATTGTCGCATGTGTGTGTCTGCAGTGTTCCGGATGAGAGCGCAGCCTCGTCCCCAGAGGACAGGGACCCAGGCCTCTTCCTGCTGCGCAAGGACAGCGAGCGCCGCGCCATCCTGTACAAAATTCTCTGGGAGGAGCAGAACCAGGTGGCTTCCAACCTGCAGGAGTGCGTGGCCCAGGTAGGGCCAGGTCAGGGGTAGCTCCTCATCCCGCCCCCCCTCCCCCCCGCCGCCTGGGGCCAGGTCCCAGAACAGGGGGCGGGACCCCGAGGCTCCTGCTACCCTGGGACGTTTGCGCAGTTACAGTAGTCACTGTAAGTATTTCCCAACGTCCTTCCCTCTTCCAACAAGACAAAAGAAAATACAAAGGAAAAAAAAAAAAAAGACTCCCCTGAAGCCTGCATTTGCGGAGCACTGCGGTGACCCCAGGCATTGATGGAGCGGTGCTGCCCCCTGGTGGAAAACAAGCCAAATGCAGCGCGAAGCTCAAGGGCTCCCCGCCTTTGCCCTTCACTCATGTGAATCCCCCGTTTTGAAACCCCAGCTGCAGGACACACAAAGTTGCCCTCAGAAGCTGGGAGAGCAGCTGCTTTAGGGACAAAGGTTATGGATAAGAATATTTGCATTTACTTCTTTTGGAAGCGGGAAGTTCTTTTTAGGAAGAGACCACTTGCCCTACTAGGCCTTCTAACAAGGCCGGGGGGGGGGGGCGCCGGGGCGGGGCAGTTACACGGGATTCAACAGGAGGGCAGAACCGTTCCCAGAGGGGTTTAGTTGTGTGGGGTGGGGGACAGGGAGGAGAGGGGCCCCCTAACAAAAGATCGGGAGGGAATTCCAGAAACAGACCCCTTCTCACCTGGGGTGTCCACATAATACTTGTCGAATTTCCCCTCCCTCTCTGACTCACTCAGTGAAAGTGATTTTGGTGGGGGGGGCGGGGCGGTGATCAGAGTTCCGAAGACTTGCATCTCTCAGTCGGCCACATCAAGCAAATAATTGGGATCCTGAGGGACTTCATCCGCTCCCCGGAACACAGAGTGATGGCATCCACGATATCAAAGCTAAAGGTGGACCTGGACTTTGACAGCTCGTCCATCAATCAGATTCATCTGGTACTGTTTGGATTTCAGGATGCTGTAAGTGTTCTGTCTGGCCCTAGAGAACGTGCTAGAAGGCAGGAAGCCCACTGAAGTGGCTCAAAGCCGGGACCATGGAGTTCAGTTACCATCTTCTCCCACAGTCCCTGTTTCTTCTAACCTGCTTACACGTAAATCCCTAGTTTCAGCAGTGGCTTGTAAACACAGAATATGCAAGTACCGGTGAACGGGCTGATGGTATTTGGCTCCTCAGAGCAGGAGTATGGGACTTAGAGGACCTGGGAGCAGGGGGCATCTGCCGGCTGAGGAGATACGGGGTTTACGCTTACGTGTCTATGCAAACAGGTAAGAGTGGCTGCAGGCCTGCATCCTTGTCTGGTGCAGCTTTGTGTCCCATGGCCCCTGGCCTTTCATAGGTGCTCAGTAAACGCCCCTTGAATAAACAATGGAGAGGCCCGGTGTGGGAGATCCAATCCCTGCCAGTCCCCTAGACCCAGGAGGACTCGGGGGCAGCTTGCAGGAAGACTCTGTCTGGAAGGAACAAGTCAGGTGGAAATGCAGAGCAGCGTGGTTGACATTTTCTTTCAGAGTAGAAGTCAACTAGAATGAGTAAGAACTCCTCTTTCTTAAAAGTACAGCGGACCAGAAATCTGGATTTTTGTGACTTGTAGGTAAATAAAATTTTGAGGAACCACTTAATTAGGCCTCACTGGATGTTTGCGATGGACAACATCATCCGTCGAGCGGTGCAGGCTGCAGTCACCATTCTCATCCCGGGTAAGTGCCGCCTGTTTGGTCAAGGTCAGGCTCAGGCTATGGAAGAGATAGCAAGTATCCTCTGCGCTCAACAGTCGTTTTCTTTTTCCCATCTGGGCTGTATACTTCCCTGCAATTCAGTAAATGCTAAGAACTTCGGGAGGGGTACTTATGTGCCCTCTCGGCATAACCAAGGAGCCGGCATAGAGACAAAGCTTGTGATCTGAGGGGGAGCACCGAGCCTGAGGGCCAGGATCCTGCAGTGCACCCTCTTACACACTCGGGACCGCCGACTGGAGGCTTGAGTTCAGTGGTTCCACCTCCTGTCAGACTCATCATGTGGTAGCTCTAGAAATCTTAGGTTTTTGTACTCTCATTTGTGAACTGTCAGAGCAGCTTAATCCCCAGGTTCACTCTCCTGTGGTGACATCATCCTGGGGAGGGAGGCTCTGAGCAGCTTCTGTTGACAGTGCCGCTTGCTCTCTCAACTTGCTCCCTCCCTGTCGTGGCGGCTTGTGCCCAGGTGCAGCTTTCCCCCGGAGCTTGTTAGACCCCAGGATTTCATTACGTCCCACTCCAAGCGGGCATCTGTCTTTAGTGAAAAGAACCCAGGCCAGGTTGGAAGTCGGGTTGTACCTTTTTAAAACTGTCCTTGGCTGATTTAACATTCAGCCTCTGTTTCGTCATCTGTAACCTGGGGGTGATCACCTTTTCACTGCAGAGAACGGAGTAAAATAGTCTCCTCCCCATTTATAATGTCAGCAGCCCCAATAGAGCGTCCCGTCGGCTGGGCCGGCCGCCGAGCAGTCTCGTGTGCTGGTAGCGGACATCAGCGACACTACGCCCTGGCCTTGCCTAACCATGGTCCTTTCTTCTGCCACCCTTTGGCAGAGCTCCGCGCCCACTTTGAGCCTGCGTCAGAGTCCGACGGGGTGGATAAGGACACGGACAAGGTCGAAGAGGACTATCCCCCAGCAGACGGGCCCGGCCATGAAGCGCACGTGGAGTTTGGAGGGAGCAGCCCCAGTCCCGCGGGTGCCCCCGGGGCCCAGCCCCAGCAGCTCCACCACCAGCACCTGAGCCTCGAGCTGGGCGAGCTCAGACAGGAGACCAACAGGTGGGCAGGGGTGGGACGGTGACTGGGGCCAGTAAGGGAATCCGTGGCCTTGCAGAATGTCCCTCCCAGGTCTCAGAAGAGTATCTTCACCAAGGCAGTGGGCGAGGGGGTGTCCTCAGCTTCACCTGGGGGAGAACGCCTCCCTTTCTTGTAGCGATCAGAGCGGTCTGGCGCCTGGCCACCGGCCACACAGCAGTTAGCCGTGCTAACGGCAGCAGCGTCTCGGGAGGTCTTCTGTCTTTTCACCCAGACGCGGCCCCTGGCGGGGCGTGTGGGTCCAACAGGCTCACCTGTGGGCAGCTGCAGCCTGTCCCCACGTCAGTAGCCAAGCCAGGGGTTGGTTGGCACTTCATCTGACGGACATGCAACCTATGACCCTGACCCTGGGTCAGTTTGCCCTCTCCTCTGGACTTGTCACGATTCCCCGGCAGGCGCTCACGCACTGCCTTCGCAACCAGGGCACCCTGGCATGGCTCTGAGGTCCCCTCCGAGAGAGCTGGTCTGTTTAATTCACTTCCTGGCACATAGTAGGTGGTCTAAAATTGTTAAATGAGTAAATCGATTGTCATTTGCTCTGGGTAATCACATCATCAGTGGACTTAAAAAAAATACCCCCCACAGACAGAGCGAACTAGTTGGTACTGGTTTCAAAGGCTGCCTCGTTGCCCTCTGATCACTGCGGATGCCCATTAACACGTAACAGGGAGATATCGTGCCAGGTATAGGGACCATGGAAGAAACATTGTATACACACTGGCGATCTCTAAAGTAGGACGTTAGGCAGATCTAATCATTTCTTTTTAGAGAGACCTAGTGTTGTTTTAAAGTTTTTGGGAGACCCGGAGTTTTAATTAAAAGGTAGTGGGGGCAAAATATTGAAAGCTTTTAAAATATGACAGATGTGGAAGTTGATAGTAATACTTAGCACTTCCTTAAAATATTTTCCAGTAGGGTTTATAATCACCAAATGTAGAAACTGTTCGCTCTGAGCTTCATGGGCACTGTCAATAGTCCCTCTGCTTCCTTGGGGTCTCGGGAGGAGGACTAACAGCCGGCACCGGCTGCAGATGGCTGACAGATATGTTGTTCTCCGTGGCCGCCAGGCCCTAGCTCATGGGGACGCAGGAGCTGCTGTCGTGCAGAGCGCGAGGACCGGGCGTCCTGCCCGGAGCCGTGGTGCCTGGGCGGACCTGCTCTGTCCAGCGCCTGTGAAGCAATTAGCACAGTCCTCGGTCCCATACACGTTCGCAGGTGTATTCCTCCTCCGGGAGGTCATCTTTCTGTTGGTGCTCTCCCGCCACTGCCCGGCACGCGCTGGGCTGCCAGCTCCTTGGCTTCCTCCTGAGGAGGAAAGACCCTGAGAGCTCCTTTCAGCACCTTGATGTGACTCCGGGAGACAAGATGTCATCACCAGCTCCTCCTGGCTGAGTTTACTGATCACCCTCAGGTTATCTTCTGGTTCCTGATACATTTTGAGACAAAATACACCCGTGTCTTTGTTTTCAAGGGGAGGAAACACAAGGGAGGGGCCCAGGCTGAAACCAGACTGTTGGGATTGTGTGATTTCCACACACCCCCCCCCCAATCTCTAAGGTTCAACCAATGTTTGAGTAGAACTGAATGGCTCTCTCTGAATAATGGCATTTTTTTTTTTTACCAGACTTTTGGAACACCTAGTTCAGAAAGAAAGAGAGTATCAGAATCTTCTGCGGCAAACCCTAGAGCAGAAAACTCAAGAATTACATCATCTTCAGTTACAATTCAAATCTAATGGTAATTTTCCACTTGCTCTGACTTGTGTGTGAGACCACCTAAAATCTGGCTAATGTTCTAGTCAGCCTTGCCACAGTTGCAGTTACTCTCTAGTAAAGCAGTAAGTACTCCAGTATATTCTGGAATACTCCTCAGTAATAGAAAACCACTGATACATTCAAAAACGTGGATGAATCACAAATGCATTATGCTCAGTGAAGGCCGATTCAAAAGGCTACACACCATGAGTCCCTCAATATGGAATACTGATGCAATACTCTGTTAAAGGCAAAACTCGGAGGGACAGAAAGCATCAGAATGGGGGGAGGGGATTGATTGTAAAAGGCTGCAAGAACTTCTGGGGGTGATGGACTGCTCATCAAAGTTCACAGCACTACATACCTAAAAAGGGTGACTGCAGAAATGAAACCTCAGTAAACCTAATTCATCTCGTGCCACTTACAAAACAGCTGCAGCCAGCCACCTCTTGGAAGGTGGGATGGCTAAGCGCTGACACAAAAATCTCAGTACTGAGTCCCATGTCCTCATTTGATTTCCAGTGCAGTTAAGGATGGGATTCTTTATAAAAGGCATTTTAAAGACTGGATAAGCATCTAAAGTGGTAGACATAAAGCACATCAAATTCCCAAGTAACATTACCCTTACCTGTGGTCCCTTTAATCTCTGGAAAGTGAATCCAGGAACTTCGGACTGTGGATTAGAGCAGCTCAGACAGGTTTAATTCATATCCTTTCAAATCACACTTACGTTGTAATAGTTTATTTCATCCAACCTGTTACTTTTGAAGAGTTTTACTGTTAAACATTAATATACAACAAAACAAATTTCTCATCATTGCAGATACTACAGAGAACCCAGCATCCCCTCCTGGGTCTCAGGGGCAAAAAACTGATCAAAAGCTCATAGACTGGTTACAACTGCAAGGAGCAGATGCAAGTACAATAGAAAAGGTAAATTTGTGACAAAAAACACACATTCCTATGTCATTATTACAAAGCAGCTTAGCTCTTCTGTATTTGATATTTGTTTCAGATTGTTGAAGAGGGCTATACCCTTTCTGATATTCTTAATGACATCACTAAGGAAGATCTAAGACACCTTAGACTACGGTAAGAATGGCTTCAAAACATTGTAATAGAAAATGACTTTTTTCCTGTGATTGTGCTTCTAAATCAGTAGAAAACAAAGTGGTGGTCACTTTCCCCCTTCATTGAAATTAATTTTCTTATCTGTGGCTTAGTCAGAAAACCAACTACCCAACTTCCCCTCTAACTCTGGAGTTTTCTTACGATAAAGTTGGGTACCAAAGGGACGAGAAACCTGAGAGCTCCCCACCACCCCCCCCCAGCAGTCCTCTGCCCTCCGGACTCTCTCCAGACCTTCTTTCCTCAGCCTGCCCTGCACACAGCCACCTGGCCCTCCTATACATGCCCTACTGGAGCCCAAATACAAGGGGACAGAGCTCTATTTAAGAACTGCATTTTGGCAGTCTAGACAAGTCTAGAATTATATACTGTAGCTTTTGACATAAGGGCTCCTAAAGAAGTAAGTATTTAGTGGTGCAGCTTTGAAATTCTCTTTTCTTACGATTCTTTAAAGAAGACTCTTGATTGTTTCCTAGTGGTGGTCTCCTCTGCAGGCTCTGGACAGCAGTCTCCCAATACCGAAGAAGGGCTCAGGGGTCCCCGGCCTCCCAAGATGAGGCTGAACCAGTCGGCTAGGCCAGGGGACAGAGGGAGCCAAGAGCTGACATCTTTGTTAAAACTTCTGTTAACACAAATTCCACTGAGTTGACACAAGGAAGACCGCATTATTTAAGAAACTGAAGTTTTAAAGAATTACTGAAATGGGATGGGTTTTGTTTTTTTTAAACCTGTTACTTAACATGTTTTAAAGGTGAGTAGAACTTTATGTACTGTGAGAACAGTGACTGAACTCTATAATTTTGACATCCCAGAATATTGTGGAATTCTTTAAAACGAATTTCAATGTTGCTTCAGTGGAAAACTCAGTACACCCGTGAAACAGGTGTTTAAAGTAACAGGGTGGGCTGGGCATCACTGTTTTAGACCATAGATTACTATAAACTGGCATTGTACTTAAAAAGATAAAATTGATAAGAATAAGCCTTGTATTTAATGTTTGATATGAGTGTAAATATTAAGAAAATAGCTTTGTATTTAATGTATAAATGAAGAAAACTAAGTTATTTGGCCTCTGAAATGATTATGAAGTGGTCTTATTTAAAAATGGCATTGTTGGGGCACCCAGCTGGCTCAGTCAGTGGAGTGTGCGACATGCGACTCTTGACCTCAGGATCATGAGTTCGAGCCCCACGTTGGGTGTAGAGATTACTTAAAATATTTAAAAAAATAAAAATGGAATTGTCCTTCTACCCCCTGCCTGGAGATGATAAATACTGTGTTTTATTGAGAAATGACGGTCACTGTGAAGAGGCTTCAGCCCCCACGCTGATGAGGGTGTGCATGCAGTGTTGGCTGTTTGGTGAGGTGCATGGGCCCTTGCAAGGGTCAAGGGAATGCTCACACTCCCCTCAAAGGTAGGAATGGCTTTTGATTTTAGCAAATACTGTTCAGTTATTAAAAGAAATAGAACCATTTTGAGGAAATAATTTGAAATCTAAAATCTTCTATAATATTCACACTAAGTACTTAAGTGTGCAGTAACATCTTTTAATGCAACACTGTACAAAACACATGCACTTACTATCTTAGCCTACATTCTTTTTATGGGGTTTTCTTCCTTGAGTCCAACAGCCCACTGAAGCTGTAACCATCCATCACATGCGATCTCCTATTAACTGATGGACTTAAACTTGATCCACTGATTTGCACCCCGAACTTCAAAAGGCGGATCGCTGCTGTAAATGTGATAGCCTAGTTCTTCCAAAGGCGGTTCAGGATCAGCAGTGGCAAACTGGGCAGCATCCTCAATTTCTTTCCTCACTTCAACATCAATTTCCTAAAAATCAGATTACAGTTCAAGAGGTTTTTGAATAAACAGCAGCTTAGAATGCCAACATGTTGCCAGTATGGAACTAGAACTCTTCGAGGACTAGAAGTACTATTTTTGAAGAGGTGTTTAAATGGCAGTGATCACAGGAATATTTTGGTTTGGAGTACCAGTGATGAATACCTAAAGTCCATTTTTAGGAACACAGAATTGTGCTACTGGGTTGCAAGACTAAGCAAACAGGACTGCTTCATAGTGTCCTATGACACTACAATCCATCCTTTCCCACTGACCGAGGTAGCTCCCCCAAGAGCGGCAGCGCTCTGGGTGCAGAAACACCAGTTGAGCCTACCTTTAATTCTTCAACACTGGCCAGATTGCTGTTCACCATCCTATCCTTGAGAAGCATAATAGGGTCACTCTTACTTCTTACTTCCTGAATCTCTTCTCGTGTACGGTAACTAGAGGGAGGCAAACAAGTAGGTCAGAACAGTTTTCAGAGCTGTCGCTGGGGACATGGTGCCATTATCCTCTCAAAATACAAGAATGCTGCCTCTCACATTCTAGGATCTTTCATAGAAAACTCTGCCCTGGCAATTCCTCTGCCTTCTCAGGCATTCCAACAACAGAGGCCAAGCTTTGAGATTCAGATGTAGGCTATAAAGAAAGTGGTAGAGCCGCTTTGTGCCATTTTAGGTGGGTGGTGAGAACTGTAGACTGGAAGGTGGCGGAATGCCAAGCAGGAAGTAAGTTTAGGAGCCCAGAGAAGTGGGGCCAGCGAAAACTCAAACAGGAGGTTTTCCCCTTCCTGATCCTAGAATACAACTGACCCTTGAACAACGTGGGGCTTAGGAGCACCAACCCCCCATAAACAGTTGAAAATCTGCCAATTTTGACTCCTGAAAAACAAGTCTTAATAAACAGGTATTTTGTGTGTTACATGCATTATATGCTGTATTAACATAAGCCAGAAGTGTTACAGCCAGAGAAAATACAGAATAGTACTGTTTTATTGAAAAAGAAAATCCCCGTATAAAGTGGACCCAGGCCGTTCAAACCTGTGTCGTTCAAGGGTCAACTGTACATCCTTGTCCTACATCTTTGAAACCTGTTATCATTTCAAGTAACATAAACGGGACGGGAGGGCTCTACTGTTGTTCTGAGAACACCAAGTGTATTTTTTTCTGTGTAAGTTGCTCTTTGTAACATTTTCCCTTCAAACTCCAATCTACTCCCAGGCTTGTCAGGGCTGGCTTACTCTGACTAAATCTACTTTGGGATGGCAGCATTACATGCCCAAGTTACCAAGGGGACTAGTAAAACTATCTTCCTAGTATAACCTACCATGTTCTGACTGATCTATTCCAACATACTGGATGCCCCATGTTGCCGGGTGGCCTCACTCCATACCAGCCAGGTTTTCAAATTCCAACTCTATATTGGGGTAATGCCTACAAAAGCTACATGCCCCTAAATAGATATACTCCACACCATCAACCTGGTTTATGAAACAATTTCGCTCTGCAATTTTTTTTAAAGCAACTTCTACCCCCAACGTGAGACTTGAATTCACAAATCTCAGCCACATGCTCTACCCCGAGCCAGCCAGGTGCCCCATCTCTGCAATTTATTGCTGCTCATGCTAACATGAACATAGTACATATTATAAGGATTTTCAGAATGCTCCCAAGCAGAGAGTCAAATACCTACTCAACACCAACTAATTCACTGAATGAGGCCCACTGGTGTTTGGCTTCCAAAGCAAATGTCGAAATGCTTTGCTTTTTCATGTGAGTAGCACCATACAAAGCCCACCCACTTGGGACACCACTATCTGATTTCCCAAGACCATACCTGACGCCAGGGTCGCTCATGCTGTGTCCATGGTAACGGTAAGTCTGTAGCTCCATCAGTATGGGCCCCTAAAACAGAACCCAGTGGAGACTGAGACAATGGGCACAGCATATCCTTTCAGAGTCAAAGATGTTCTCATCAGATTCTAAGTTGGCTGAGTTGTCAAGAATTTCCTATTAGCTAAAACCTATGTATTCCAGGGCGCCTGGGTGGCTCAGTTGGTTAAGCGACTGCCTTCGGCTCAGGTCATGATCCTGGAGTCCTGGGATCGAGTCCCACATCGGGCTCCCTGCTCAGCAGGGAGTCTGCTTCTCCCTCTGACCCTCCCCCCTCTCATGTGCTCTCTCTCATTCTCTCTCTCAAATAAATAAATAAAACCTTTTAAAAAAAAAAAAAACCTATGTATTCCATGTTTCATCCTTCTCATTTAGAATCAAAAAGACATTCAACATGTTATAGAGCCCACTGATCTTAAATATTTCATCAGCATTGCCTTTGATAAATAATAATCCTATAAAACAGCTGAGATTTAATGCAGAAAAACCTATTAGAAAGCAGGTATGACACCAAGGGAGGGAGTGGTTTTTATCTTCAGGGTCAATAAAGCTAGCTTCCCCCCCCCAGTTCACAGATGAAATGATCTACAAGCATTTGGATCCTTTTAAAAAGCTAGAGAAAAGAAGTACTACAAAATCTCACAGAATAAGCTTAAACGCAAACCTCTAGGTGTGCTGGAAAGTGCAGAAGGGCGGGCAGGTCAATCTCTACCTCACCCCCACTTCATGCAGTTTCAGAGGGGCTGACACCCCATCCTCCCGCGCAGGTCTGGCTAGCATGTGACGAAGATGGTGGTCACTGACAACATCTGAGGAGTAGCCCTGTGACTCTGCTGGCCAGCCCAACCACCTCCAAGACAGCTTCTTCCTGCTACACTAGCCCCCTTCCAGAAGACAACTTTGAACACTGAGGCTCTGGAGAGGGGAGATCTAAGACCCCTGGACAGTTTGGTGCAGTAGTTGAGGGACGGGAGAGGCCCGGCTCTCAGTCCAAGCGCCTGGGATCCAATCTGGGCTGTCCTGTACAGTAGCTATGTACCCTTAACCGCTCTGTGCCTTAGGTTACTGTTTTACAGGTAAGGGACCTAACTCCAGGGTTGTGCTGATTAACACAGAAGTGCTTACTGCACCGCCTGACTGGCACACGTCAACCCCTCACTAAGTGTCACCTATTTTTCTGTTCTATGCCATCCAGGAGCTACTGGAAAACACAGTGGGTTGGGCTAAGGGGGTTTCTAGACTCTCCCCTAATTCCAAAATCAGGCTGTGAAAGTCAACACATACTATAAACCAGCGATCCTGTTTCCATGTAAGTTTGTACCCTGCATGTTCTTCCAGGAACTGGGGAAGAGGGGAATGATACCGCCCACACCTGGACCTCTAGTCTTGGGAGTCCCAGTGTAGACTGCTGAGCTCACTGCCACCTCAGCCATACTCGATTTCATTCCTCTTTCCTCACATGCAGCCCCTCTCCATCTCCCTCCCTGCTCCACCCCCATTCCCCACTTGCATCACTGCTAGCCGAATCCTACTGCACAGGGGATGTCATGGAAAGGTAAACCCTAGGGACATGCTTTCTGGGCTGTGAACACCAACTGAGAGAGAACACCATCCTTTCTACCAGCTCTGATGGCACCTAAGCCAACCTCACTGTTCCCTCTCCCTCTACTACTCTACCCGAAAGGTCAAGATTCTCAGGACTGAAACAACAAGACTAAGATGACACACTTTAACCATAACACTTAACTTATGGAAGACAAGCTTACACTGAACACCTATTATCCAAGCAAAGTTCTGTGCTAAGCATTGTGGGGGTCGCCCATCTGCTCACTCAAGGGGCTTACGATTAATGGGGAGGAGGGGTGGAGGTTGGAGGCACATAATTAATCAAACCACAAGGCAAAATGCTGAAGGGAGAGCTCAAAGGAAAGATTCACCCCAAATGGGGGCAACGTGGGATGTTTCCCAAGAGGTGTGCTACCAAGACCAGGGTATTTACAAAGGGACCCGATTCACTGGACTCTTCTTCTACCTTATACACCCCTCCTCAATTACCAGCCACCCCTGAAGAGCTACAGTAGACACATGGGAGGCATTCTTTTAACGTTAAGATAAATGTCAATAGATTATCTCTAGCCCAGAGGCCTAAAAAAAAGTCTTACCTTTCCAGATCTACAGTAAGCAGCTGCAAACCTTGTTGCCTCCCGGACACACAAGATATCCATTCCATCCACCTGTTCATACACAGAAAAGGGCAGAGCATAAATCAAACTGCGTCAAACCATTTTAATGTTACAGGACCCGTTCGTGCGCTAAGAACAGAGAACTCTTCCATTTGTCTGAGATGGTCAAGGACCCACACAGAGGCATCAAACCGCAAAGGGGTAGCCCCAGCCTCATGCCAAGTGTCCTCACCCTCAGCCCAGGAATGAAGTCGCCTCTCTTGTAGTAATCAGTGCTGGCCGCTGCTCTCTCAACAGACGTTCCCATTCCATAGCGGTTATTCTCACAGATGAAAATACACGGCAATTTCCACAAAGCTGCCATGTTGTAAGCTTCAAATATCTGACCCTGGAAGTGTGTATAAAAAGTTCAAGTGGTATTATTTGGCTATTTTTCTCTAGATTTCTTCATCGTCCCCAAAAGTTGCTGCTCTCCCTGGCACGAAAGCTTTCAAAAAACATGAAAAGCTTCACCTTCCACAACAGAGCTTTTAAGGCAAAGGAGTGTGTATGTTGGGGGGTGGGGGAGGAAAAAACGACAAGCATCATCTCTTTTTGCAACCAAAGAAAGTGACAAACCAAAAACCACTCGTTTCAGTGGGGCCAAGGCAGTGGTATATAATACATTAGGAAAAGATCAACATGTAAAACTTTGTGGCTACCTACTTTAATGCTTTACTGTAAATGCTATTGGGCCCACTGGATAACCAGAGTGAGCCAATGTCTGAGAATCAGCATCCAGAGCAGGGCCTCAAGAGTGATGTCCACGGACTGGTGAGGACTCCGAGCATGACAGGAAAAGTACAGAAAGAGCCAGGCTCAGAAACCATGAGAGGAGTCTGCACATTACAGGACTGATAGTGTAAGAACTAGTTTGCCCTGGGTTAAGAAGTAAAAAGGTCCTTCACCCCCAGAGCGTTTGTGAAGCGCTGAGGCAGAGGCGAGCTCTTCCACAGGAGGGCCTGTATGAAGCACTCGTGCCACACGCCACAAAGTAAACCTGTAATGTGGCCGTAAAACCAAATTCCAGCCTGCCCCGAATGGCTACTTCAACTACCAGGCAACAGACGACTTCTCTACAAATGGAACTATGACTATTCAACACTTTGGAAATAAAACTGCAAAGGTTATTCAAAGTCAAGAGACACATACTCACCTGATTGGCAGCACCATCACCATATAAAGTCAAACAGACCTCATCCTTTCCGTTATACTTACAGGCCAGAGCAATCCCTGCTCCCAGGGGCACCTGACAGTGAGGACAACCAAGAAAGAACCACAGAAATCCATGAGGGGAGATAATATTAATGCTCTGAATTTTAAGTCCTGGCCAGAATTTAAGACAGAAATTACACTATCACTACAAACTCCCTACCATGCCCCTACCCCCAATATTATAATCAAATTGGTAAAGCAACATGAATAATTCTTCTATTTCAACCATTAAACAGTAACACTTCTATAAAGATTCAACTACTCAAGAGCCAAAACATGAAACCTAGGTGTTTTTTTAACATACAGCAGCATCACATTACAAAGTAAGCCAAACAATCTAGTTATAATTTTATGCCGTTCTTCATTTTTCCTTTCAAATTTTTTTTTTTTTTTTAACTCTAGTTAGTTAACATATAGCGTAATACTGGTTTCAGGAGGAGAATTTAGTGATTCATCACTTACATATCACACCAGGCTGTTACTTCATTATTCACTAACTGATGAGAACAAAGAGAACTATATAACCACAAAAGCTCGAATGATTTCTAATGTGGCCCCTATGATCCTGATCACCTGCCTTTCCTCCTCAGATACGTGCATCCACAGTCTACAGCAGGGAGAGGAAGGGCTAAGTGGATGTCACAAAGCAATTAATGTACTTAAACGAAAAGGTGAAGGTATAAGCTGCTGCTGGGGGCTCTTGCTTACTTATAAAACATAACAAAACCTAAAAGGAAGAATTTTAAATCACTGTCCAAATCTAACTATTAACTGATCAAATGGTAGGCTAGGAAGCAATAGGTCTTTTAAAGTACACCAAGCCGGGGCGCCTGGGTGGCTCAGTCGTTAAGCGTCTGCCTTCGGCTCAGGTCATGATCCCAGAGTCCTGGGATCAAGCCCCGCCTTGGGCTCCCTGCTCAGCGGGAAGCCTGCTTCTCCCTCTCCCACTCCCCCTGTGTTCCCTCTCTCACTGTGTCTCTCTCTGTCAAATAAATAAATAAAATCTTTAAAAAATAATAATAATAAAGTACAAGCCCCCAAAGTACTAAAATATTTCAGAGGGAAGTTCTCTGGGGTATGAAATGTTAAGATATGGTCCAGGGCCAAATCTAGGAAAGCATGCAATCCTCATCCTCAGCGTGGATTACCTGAGCTCCAACGATGCCATTGCCCCCATAGAAGTTCTTGGCATACATATGCATTGATCCACCTTTTCCCTTAGCACAGCCTCCTCTTCGTCCTACAAATGGCAGCATGTGCACATACACATCAAAAACCAAATATACAAAAGAAAACCACACCCCAAGTGTTTACTTAGAGGCTCAACCACTAGAACTCACAGGCTAATTCAATTCTATAAGCACCCTTCCCTCTATGCAAATACATATTCCACCCGTATCTCCTGGTCCTTTAAATGAAGGTTAATCCAGTCCCATGTCCTTGAACTTTCCAGCTCTCTAACCACTGAGTTTCCTTTAGATGTTAGCATCATGGTACCCTGGACGTTTTTTTTTGGCCAGTTACAAACATCTTCCAATTTCTCCTACACTGGTACGCTGAACAGTTCAAGAGTCAAGGGGGACAAAGGGAATATTAAAGATTCCTAGAATTTAAATTGCATACTATGAAATGCTCCTACTCTCAATTTACTTTCTATGATTGCTAATTTCTACTGGCGTGCTTGAGTGACAAACAGTATTCTGATTTTACAAAGCTAACATTTTTAAACTTTCACCTGAAGGGCCAGATGACCTCAAAAATGGTCAGTTTACTCAAAAGCACAACAGAGGTACCAAAGCACCAAAAGGGAGAGAGAAAGAGCCAGTCTCAGAAACCATGAGAGGTTTTTTTTATATACTCAAAAAGGTTTTAATATTAAGTTGTAACAGCATCTTACTATGAAAAATCTGCACTTATTTCACTAATTTCCCCTTTTTGAAAATCAGTAGCAAACCTGTAAGCTCTGCAAGAATTTCTCGGACAGAAAGTCCACGAGTAAAGGTAAAGCCATGAGCCCGATAGGCTGTGATAAGATGGTCTGTGGGATTTATGCCGGCCTCCAGGCCCACACAACAAGCTTCCTACATTAAAGGAAGAAGCAGTAATGAGTCAATACAATACATATTTCTAGATAAAATCCCCAGCCTATTATGAAAATTTGGCCTAGTAGAACTCTCAATAACCACAAAAGGAGCTCTATTTTTCATTGGAAACAGAACAGAGGGTAAAGTTCAAGCCAGAATCTACAAACTGGAAATTCACAGATGTAGTTTCAAGCCAGTACAGTGATTTGGAAAAAAAAATCCTGAACTAGATGTCAACATTAATACTGGGAGAATTTCATAGGAAAATAGACACTTCTGTTTTCTCTTGAGGAACCAAAAACAGGAAGCATTAACCTCAGATTTCCATATGGCACCAACTGGCTGGAACCAAGTGATGGTGTCCCCCGGTGGGCCGGGCCTGCCGACTCCAGTCCACTACCAGTCCCACCTTCTTCACTAATTTATTCCACCCAGCTGGTCCCCACAGGCATTTGAATTTGTAACCCTTGGCCTAAACCCACAAAACAAAACACAAAGTGAAAACCCTTTTGCCCACAAGTATAAGCACTACAGGTGATCACAAAGCCATCAAGGCGCAGGACACCAGCAACGGGAAGTGTGCGTGACTTCCTTAGCATGAGCTTTGTAGCAGGCCTCAGCATGCTCGTCTTTATTCTGACAGGCCGGCCTCGAATCCTTTAGACGCCTAAGGTGGGGTAAAAACCAATAACTACAAACCATACTTAAATTCCTACATCTAACATGGTTTTATTACCAAACCACCACTCACCTGACCATCACACAAGTGACAGAAACCACGAATAATTTTCTGTTTATACAGCTGATCTGCCTTTAACTCCATCCGGCGAACAGTCTGCATCATCCTATAGTACCTGAGCCCGTCCTCCCTGGTGAGCACTGTGGTGACAGGAGGGCCCTCTTCTAGCCGATGAAGATCGCATTTCTGAAATGGAATCAGACAGTTAACTTCCAGTTACTACAATATAAACGCTGACAACCCACTGTAAGATCTGTTATCTTACTGCAATATTATTTAACTTGAAAACCAGCAGAGGAGCACATAAGAGATGCCACATATTGCTTCTGACTCCTTAAATCATAAAGCTCACTGTGCAAGAGGATCGAGTTTTAGAGGAAAGAAATCTAAGATGACTTTCACCAAAAATCCATGGAAGTCAAATGAGTTATAGGTTGAAAGACAAACTTTCAAAGAAACGTTGTAAGAAACTTTTTAAAGATTTTATTTATTTGAGAGCAAGCGAGTGAGCACAAGCAGGAGGAGCAGAAGAAGGAGAAGCAGACTCCCCACTGAGCAGGGAGCCTGATGCGGGGCTTGTGTACCTGTGGAAAAATTACTAACACAAAGCAAAACACTTCTTACCTTAATTTCAAATGTAGCATCATTTGCAAAATTACGGGAGGCCACGAGCACTCTGCTTGCCTTGAAAGACCAAAATATACAAATATATCAGTACTTTTTATTGTCAGTATTTTTGAAAGTCATTATTATTATTAATCACTTATCAGGATGCCGTCCTGGAATTTTCATAAGCCCCAATATATTCACGGGTGTATCCTCCATTCTCTTTACTGTGTTGGGATCTTGCCTTCAAAATGAATCCATGCTCTGGCCAATGAAACATGATCATACCCACTTCTGAAGGGTAACAGCAGAAAGAGAAAGGAGACAAAAATCAAACCCATCCACGTGGCCATTCTGTTTCCAAAGAAATTACAGTGAAAATAGAATGAAGTTAATGGCCAAACTGAAGAGACTAGATAACCTGTGGGCTTTATTTCTGCTATCTGCAGTCATAACCAGACATTGAACAAGCCAAAGCTTTACTTTCATTATTATTCTTCACATAAAACTATGATCCAATTCCTATTTCAGGCCAACCACTATTCCATGAAATGGCTCCATAAGAAACATATTTTAAACTACTAGAAGTATGAGATACAAGCCTCAGAAGGGAGAAATGTTCTCTGCAACCAGCGTTCCCTTCTTGCTGTTTGGGCAGCTGTTACTGCTTGGGTGGCAAAAAGCGGGGGAAATGTTTCCTTTCCACTTTTTCGATTGAACATACCTGCTCACAACGGAAGTACTCTATGTGATGGCTAAGGTCCAGATTAGACCACAAAGATTTACCAATTACTATTACTGTATTAGTTTAGCCACATTCTGCCACGTTTTCAAACACTGATATGTAAATTGACATGACTTCTTTTCATGGAGACTTGAAGCATATTCTTCAGATCCCACAAAAAGTACTTTTGATGTATTCCTACAGTGTATTATTACCTTACCGTCCAACTTCTAGCACTGGACTTGATCCTGGTGAGAAGGGTTAAAGTTGACCTGCTAAGCACTCCTCCAAGTGTACAAAAACCTATTATCTACTTCTCTTCACCCATCAGCATACCATTATCTGATAAAGCCAACAAGACAATGACCTTGCTGTAGGAAAAATGCTTAAAGACTAGAAATAAATGCTTAAGTTAGAGGCAGAGGGAATCCATTAGTATACCTAAGAATATGTGAAGAAAACTGAGGAATTTGGAAAGAAGTAAAGCTAAGCAGGGTGAGGTGACAAACTAAAGGTGATGTTTGGCAATCATGAAACAGACCAGTTATTTTTGCCAGTTAACAAATTACATTGTGGGGCCAGAATTTTTCTTGTAATGCAAAATAAATGTCCAGATACAGCTACAAAAACTGTAGTTTTCAGAAATATTTAAAACTAGAGACCTTGTTGGGGTGCCTGGGTGGCTCAGTCGTTAGGCGTCTGCCTTCGGCTCAGGTCGTGATCCCAGGGTCCAGGGATCGAGCCCCGCATCGGGCTCCAGCCCCGCATCGGGCTCCCTGCTCGGCGGGAAGCCTGATTCTCCCTCTCCCACTCCCCCTGCTGTGTTCCCTCTCTCGCTCTCTGTCAAATAAATAAAATCTTTAAAAAAAAAAAAAAAAAAAAGGCGATTCCTTCTCCCTCTGCCCCTCCCCCTGATCACATGTGCGCTCTCTCCCTCTCAAATAAATCAATCTTTAAAACAAAAAACAAAAAATGAGACCTTGTTGAAACACTAAAATCATACACCTGAAACTAATATTACACTGTGTCAACTAATTGGAATTCAAGTAAAAACTTAGTAAATAAAACTAGAGACCAAACCAGCTAGTAACCAACCATAACCGAGAAGAGGTAAATTTCTTTCTCCATCTTAAAGTTGAAACCAAGAATGACGGACAATTCTATATAATATAGAGCAGGAAGGCAAAGTCAAAGACTACGACTGCCGGAAAGCTACTCATATCCTTTCTCCCTGTTTCATCATTATCCATCTCAAAAATAAGAGGAATCACTCATATAATGGGTAAAAGGAGCTGAGTTAAGAAGCTAAAAGTCCTATCAAAAGTATGAGTGTAGGGCGCCTGGGTGGCTCAGTTGGTTAAGCGACTGCCTTCGGCTCAGGTCATGATCCTGGAGTCCCTGGATCGAGTCCCGCATCTGGCTCCCTGCTCGGCAGGGAGTCTGCTTCTCCCTCTGACCCTCCCCTCTCTCATGTGCTCTCTCTCATTCTCTCTCTCTCAAATAAATAAATAAAATCTTTAAAAAAAAAAAAAGTATGAGTGTATCATAATTTATAACTGTTGAGGCTGTTGAAAAAATTACCTTTCATTTTCTCTGGAGAGCCCTAAAAAGCTTCTCTGTTAAATAGGATTCCTCTTTGAGAGACCATGGACGAACCCACTCACATTTTGAAAAATAAAAACTTTTACGTTCCTAAATACATGGGAACCATTCAAATCAAAGAGGGAAAATAGCTCAAAAATTCCAAATTCTACCAGTGTAAATTAAAAATCTTCCCTATTACTTAAAAAGCCAAAAGTATACTGGTAGTGAAATTCTCAAAGGATCATAATGGAAATTCAAACAATAACAATTTTAAACGCAATTTCATCTGTGAAATAACTCTGAAAACACTCAACCTCATTCAAAGATGAAATCACAGGTACTTAAGCAACTTAAGTTACACTGGGCCTTCTGCTTTCATTTTAGAAACTGTCATTTTGTAGGAGGTGCATCCAATTTCTAAAGGTTTTGGTGGGATGGCTGAAGGGTGGCAAACCAAGGGAGAAAAGAGGGAGACAATGTCCCAAGTCTTCTACCTAGGCTGGCCCCCAGTAACCCGAGAAGTGAACACTGTAAATTACAGCAACATTTTCCCTTAGGTTCTCAAAGATATTAAATACTACACCTACTTTATACAATGAGTTTGTTAAAAGACAAATTCCTTAAACCTATTTCTATCACCTATGCTTAGAAAGTGATTGTTTCTGTCTTGATGGTATTAACATCTGATGTGCTTACTTAATTTTTAAAGACACTTTTGCAAATCAAAGTGTCAAGCCCACAATCACTGGGAACCTGGCAAGCTATGGAGTATGAAACTTGTCCAGTTCCTGACAGTTTCAAGTGTGTTTTCCTTTATCTGACAATGATCTTTTTTTAGCATTAAGAAGTACAGGTTCAAAAAAGAAAGTACAGGTCTCTGATGAGTCTAAAACAAACACTTTGAACACTCTAGCCAGTGTTAACCCAACTGAAACCTGATAAATAAGCACACTAGACCCAAGAGCCTAAAGTGCGCTGAGCACTCTGGGGACATCTCATCAATAATTACAGGTTATGGAAACACTGATTACCTGATCTGCTCTGTTACAAGGACGGGGAGATATTAAACAGGGTTTCAGCCCACAGACACACATGATCTACAGTTAATACATAATTCTTCAAAATATTTTTGTGTGTCTTACTATAATTAATGCCACATATGCAAGCAACAGGAAAAATAAGCAAAATAGCCAAAAAAGAGGGCCGGCTCAAAGTAAGGAGCACTAGCTCTTTCACTGTCTCTAATTCTTATTTTTAAAAAAGTAATTAAATAAATGTTATACACAGGAATCCATTTCCGTTGTAATAATCTTTTCTCTCAGTAACAATTTTTGACTAAATGAAGTTATATTCCACTCTGGTTTTATCCAGTTAACAAATTATTGTAACTCAAAATTCATTTCTATTTGATTTGGGCGGTATTATGTCATTTTTGAAGAGGCCAAAGTTTTATTGAGATGAAGTGCAATTTGCATTCCATGCCAACGCATTGCTGGAAGAATGGAAAACCCAAGCAGGAGTATTCTGGGCAGCCGAGCAAATGAGCCTCATATTAAGTAATGACTTCTCTCTGTTCCTAGGGACACAGAGGTGACAGTAATTTGAAAATGCACACAGCAGTTTTCTTACTGCAGAACACCACCAATTCTATCAAAGGTTTTCTTTTCTACTGCAGGCCTTTAAATTTAACATGATACAGAACTAAGACCCTCATATAAAGTTGAAAACATGTTTCCATTACTTACATTCAACTAAAAAGCGAAGATGTGGAGATTAAATAGCCTAGTGCCCGGCACACATTAAGAGCTCAAGAAATGTTGGGTATATCATGTGATATACAGAAATAAAACGGAAAGGGGCTTATCCTTCAGGTGGATCTAATTGCAATTAAATGCTAGTAACTGATGAACCAAATTGTTTTGTAATTATTTCAAAAAGATTCCCAGAAGAGTATACTTCCTTTCAATGATCTCTGCCCATACTAGGCAGAACGGCCCCCAAATACTGGGAGTTACTAGAACTTGAACTGCAAGTCAAGCCTGGCTGCAGTTGTACCCAGTAATACTACCTCCCCACACTTAGAGGTCAAAATGCTTGAAGGCCTTAGGCACATCTACAAGCTGGAGCCATCAATAGTGCTAACCTCTAACCCCACCCTCCCAAGCACCACTGCTGTTTTCTTCAGCTACTTTTACCCTAAGCGTGTGTGTTTAAGGGGGAGGGCGGTTTCCTCTGGGTTCTGCTTGACTGCTCTTGAAGTGACTGCCAAGAAAAACTCAACGTTGAGGGAAGGGGGGTAGTTTCTGGGGAGCATGACCCGGACTTAACCCTACAGAGCTGGGTGCAGGTGTTCCACAAATGTATACCCAACTGGGCACTGAAATAACATTTAACATACGTGTTAGAAGGTTAACATACGTGTCACGCCTTTAAGCTTCACGACAACCCCACGGGGTGAATACTCGTATTATCTCCTCTTTAGAGAGAAGGAAACCGAGCACGGGAGATTTAAAACTAAAACAAAAACTTGCCCAAGGTCTAGTAAATGGTGAGGCAGGTGTTTGAACCGGACCAGTCTCCGGATTTCACGCTTTTAAACATAGTACATGGCCTCTCAGTCAAGATGAATGAAATTAGAAAGATTTAACCTGAATGGGCAGGATCAACTGGAGACTCGGGGATGCCCAAGGCCCCCTTTTCTGTCCGCAGTAAAAGCACGGGCACTTCTGGAGCACACCTACTTTAGCCGGCGCCGGGAGCCGCGGCTAACCTCCCCTCGGACCTTGTAGAGCTCCCCTCCCCCCATTCGCTGCCGAAGGGCCCGGCAGCCGCTCGTCCCGGGGCCGGGAGCGGAGTGCCAGGAGCGAAGGCAAAACAAAAGACCCGCGGCTCTCGGGACGCGCCGCAGCGCCCTAGGCGGCGCCACTCCGCGCGCCCCCAGACTCGGGCCGTCCTCTGGCCTCCTCTCGCGTCCTCCAGGATCGGGCCCCGCCTTGGCCCCGGGCCCCGCCTCGGCCCCGCTCGCGCCCTACCCCGGGCCGCCCACGCTGCCTCACCGGCTTCTGGGCGACGCCCGACAACACGCGAGACACAGCGGCGAGCATTTTCCTCATGGATTGTCGGCAGTGGCGGCGGCGGCAGCGACTCCCAACGACTCCAGCAGCGCGGCCCAGGAATCTCCAAGTCTCCTTCAGGCGCCCGGAGGGGACGCCACGCCTTAACCGCAGCACGATGCGAGGCAACGGAAAGACGTCATGCGCCGCGCCGGGCCGCAGGCCAACCAGGCGGGCTCCTAGGGTGTGCCCCGCCCACCAAAAAGGCCCGCGACCGCTCATTGGGTGTCGGCGCCAGAGATGGCGGGGGCTGGAGGCTCCTTCCGTCACCACGCCACGGAAGGGTGAGGATGCCGGGCGTTGAGTGCGTCGGCCTGGGAAAGTGGAGCCCCGCCTCCAAGGCCCCGCGGGAAAATGGCCTTTTCCTTAGGTTTAGCAGCTCCGACTAGGCGTGCACGATCGTGCAGGTCACCTACCGTGCGCCCAGTCCTGCCGGTGCTGCACTTCTGCAGCCTTCGCTCAGTACACGGGATAATGAAGATTTACGGCGTGGTCGGAGCCAAAAGCCTGGCACTCCGCTCTGGGACATCTGGTTTCTTTAAATGGTTCTGCTAACTTGTCTTAAAGAGATCATGTAACAGTTGTAAAATGCTGCCCTGTCTACTTGAGCTACGATCTAAAAATCGGTTCCCCAGGTAAATATTGAGAGATCAATGGGAAAAGCTTCTAGCTCTAGTTATTGGTTCACAAGCTCAACGTGAGTTAACAACAGCATAACACATCTGATAATAAAAACATACACAGGGGCGCCTGGATGGCTCAGTCGTTAAGCGTCTGCCTTGGGCTCAGGTCATGACATGATCCCAGGACCCTGGGATAGAGACCGGCATCGGGCTCCCTGCTCAGCGGGAGGCCTGCTTCTCCCTCTCCCCCACTTGTGTTCCCTCTCTCGCTGTGTCTCTGTCAAATAAACAAATAGAATCTTTTAAAAAATAATAAAAGCATACACAAAGAAACACAAAAACAACTCTGGGCTCTATTGAGTGACTTGGTCAAAGGGCTGGTTGTGGGCTACTGGGATTGCACCTGGGGTACGGGGTTCAGATTTGGGCTCCCCATTTAAGGGGAATAGTGTCAAAAATGGGTGGAATCCAGGGGACTGGTCAGAATGGTGAGACGCTGAAGTTATAATTTGTGAAGAATGATTAAAAGAGTTCGGGGAAAAGCCAGACTAACTTGGAGTGGGCTAGGTTATGTTTTGTTAACAAACATCAATCTCCACATTTCAGTCACTCCAAGAACTTGAAGTGATTCAAGTCACCTTGTTTACACTACAGGTCCCTCACAGCTTGGTTGGGGCTCTGCTCCATGTCATCTTCACTTTGGCACTCAGACTGATGGAATAGCCTCTATAGGAACTTACCATGGTAGAGGGCAAAGAGATCATTTAAACTGGCTCTCAAAGCTTCTACCCAGAAGAGACACATGTCACATCTTCTCAATTTCCATAAACCAGAGCTAGTCGCCCAACCATATCTGAGTTCAGCAGGGTGAGGTATAATCCTCCAGTCAGGAGGAAACCCAGAAAATAGGATGAACAGTAAAACCATAGAGGATTGGATGCATCATTACACATTTCCATGCCAGTCATGTTCCATGATAAAGAGCTATTGTGTGCATCTGTGTGAATAAAAGGATTTCGTTCAGTATAACAGTGAATTTCCTAACCATAAGAATTGTCTCATGAGAAGATTCCCTACCGGTGTCACCAAAAGTATTCAAAGCAAAAGTTCAAAGCATGACCAGATGCCAGAATGGCTAGAAGAAGGACTTTGACACTGGCAGGAGGCTCAGCTGAGAGACCTTGATTCCTCCCACCTATATGACTAGGTAACCGTGAGAAGAGCACTCCTCAAAGGAGTGAGCAGGGCCATTAAAAGGTAGGGATGGAAGTGAGATGCTGCTGCTGATTGAATGGGAAGGGTGAAGAAAAAGAGAGGCAAAGGATCAGAGGTCAGATGCCCAGGTCACAAGTAGCAGCTGGCCTGGATGGTTTGGGACATGTTGGCCTGGAGGCGGTTGTAAATCTGGAACATATGGCTAGAAATAGGAATTTGGGAGTTATTTGCATCGGGGTGATGTTGATTTGTGTGTCCAAGAGCAATGTAGGACATATGGACATAAACAAAGTCATTCATTGATTTAACCCTATTTATTGAGCACTGATTGTGTGTTAGGTACTGCACTAGGCACCGGGGATATAGCAAGGAACAAGTAGAATAGAGGCTGTATCTCACAAAGCTTACAGTCTAATGGTAATTAACAAGTGCACATAAATATTAGATGAACACATAATACTAACAATAGATGGTGTGAAGAAAAACAGGGTGAAGGGATAGAGAATAAGGAGGAGGATCAGAAAGGCTCCTCTGAGAAGGGGACAGGTGAGCAGAGACCTGAATGCAATCAGGAGGCAAACTATGCAAAAATCCCAAGGAGAGCTTTTCATACAGAGGGATCGACAAATACAAATGCCCTGAGGTGGAAATAAATTTTGTATATCAGAAGACTAGCAAAAAGACCAAGTGACTTTGGTGGCATAAAACAGGCAGAGGGCCCAAAGAAATGAAGTAGAAAAGAGAGACACCAGCAAAGGAGGGCCCAAGTGGAATTTTTTGTTTTTCTTAGGAGGAAATGGAATTTTGTTTTGAGTGGGATAGGAAGCTATTGGAGGGATGGGAGCAGGGAAGTGGCCTTGATTTAATTTCCATTTCTACTGAACACTTAAGAACATTCTCGTTGCTTCTCAGAGTCCATAGTCTTCTCTGAGAAACAAACTGAGGGTTCTAGAGGGGAGGGGGGTGGGGGGATGGGTTAGCCTGGTGATGGGTATTAGAGAGGGCACGTACTGCATGGAGCGCTGGGTGTTATGCAAAAACGATGAATCATGGAACACTACATCAAAAACTAATGATGTAATATATGGTGATTAACATAATAAAAAAATAAAATAAAATAATAAAATCTTAACAAAAATCAAATATAAAAAGATAAAAATAAATTTGTACATATGTCTGGCACCTTTTGAAATTTAAAGTTTTCCTAAAATTAATTTTTTACATTTAAATTTTCCTAAAAAATTTAAAATTTTCCCTAAAATTGAAAAAAAAAAAAAGAACATTCTGGTTGCTGAATGGACAGTTGATCATGTAGGAACAAGAGATCCCTTAGTGCTTGTTCTTTGAGTTCTGGGTAGCTTCTGCTTCCTTTGGGGGAACTTGTAGTTGTAGACAGTAGCAGACTGGATCTAAGTTGTTCTTTCCTTCATATTTGCAAGAAGCAGATCCTACATCCTCTGTGTGTCATTGCTACCCAAACACTATAAAGATTTAAGACATAGGATTTTATAAGAATAATGAAGGGAAATGTGTATATCATTGTTTCTCCAAGTTTGGATCACTGTACCAGTCCAGATAGACTGACCAGGTTATGTTGCAGTAACACATGAGTCTCAAGTATCAGTGGATTACTACAACAGAGGTTGATTTTTCACTCAGGGTCTATGTCCAACATGGATCATCCAGGGACTTTATCCATGATGTCACTCAAAAACCCAGGATGATACTCTAATATTTCAATACATAACCGTCATGGTCAACGCGGCAGGAAAGGAGAGGGCGCCGAAGGGTCTCACGACGGCCCTTAAATACTTTGGCTGAGTATCCCCGGTCTCTAGAGATGGTGGCTCAGTGAACTCCTCTGCCATCCAGCAAGCAGCACTCTCTCCAACAAGGGGACTCCTCCTTGGATGCTGTATTTCAGCCCTGGGGGCAGTGGCTGCTTTTCTATCTGCTATTCCTGTATCCTTTATATTTCTCTTTATGTCTTCTCCCTCCTACTCCAACCCCCTATTATTTGAGCAATAAGATAAATAGCGGTAGTAGTGGCTTGTAACCCATCGAAGAAAATAAACACCCATGAATCCATACAGACATAAATACATATTTAAATAAATAAGTAGGGGAGAAGAGGCAACTTTTCCTTAACAAGGTACTAATCACACAGGATAAAATAGTAAATTCACAATGGAGAAACAGGTAATCCAATTTTTAATAAGTAGGATTTTTTTTTGCACTCTTTTTTTTTTTTTGTCAGAAATTTCAAAGCTAGAGTTGGAAGTGACCTTGAGGGTGAGGGACACTTCAGGTGTTGTATGAGTGGTGACAGGCTAAGGTTGCAGTTCATAGTCATTGGCTATGGGCCATAATATTCTCATCTATGCTAGAACATTAACAAAGGACTCTTGCCTCTGGGGGAGGAGAGGCCAAGGAGATGGAGAAATAATTATGAAAGGCAGGGACCTGAGGAAGAGAAAATCTTAAGAATAAAGAATAACATGTGTTAGGGAAGGTGTGGAGAAAAGGAGGCCCTCGTGCACTATGGGTGGGGATAGAAATTGTTGTAGCTACCATGGAAGACAGTGAGGACTCAAATTAAAAATAGGACTACCCTATGATCCAGGATGCTACTTCTGGGCATCTATGTGAAGAAAAGGAAAACACTAACACCCCTATGTTCGCTGAGGCATTGTGCACAATAGCCATTTACGGAAACAACCTCAGTGTCCGTCGCTGGATGAGTGCAGGAAGGAGATGTGGTCTACAGGCAACATGGAAAATCATGCAGCCACCGGAAGAAGGAAATCGTGCCATTTGCGACGACATGGATGGACCTGGAGGGTATTATGCTAAGTGAAGTACGTCAGACAGCGAAAGACAAACACCATATGATCTCACGTACATGTGGAATTTAAAGAAAGACAAAAACAAAAACAAAACCCAGGCTTATAGATACGGAGAACATAACGGTGATTGCCAGACGTAGATGTGGGAGGTGGGCGAAGTGGGTGAAGGGAGTCAAAAGGTACAAACTTTCAGTGAGTCCTGGGGTGTCGTGTACAGCATGGTGACTATAGTTAATAATGCTGTATTGTATATTTGAAAGTTGCCAAGAGAGTAGATCTCATCTTTAAAATGTTCATCACGTTGGAATGCCTGGGTGGCTCAGTCGGTTGAGCATCTGCCTTCGGCTGGGGTCTTGATCTCAGGGTCCTGGGATTGAGTCCCACATCGGGCTCTCTGCTCAGCGGGGAGCCTGCTTTTCCCTCTGCCTGCCGCTCCCCCTGCTTGTGCTCAC